AACTCCTTTGTAAAAATAAATTATTGTGATATAAAATTTTGTTTTACTTACATCCATTACTTAAATTATTTTAATTAAAAAAAAAAAAACAGAAATAATTGATATCTTTATTTCTTTGTTTCTCAAAATTATTATATACATTTAATTATTTCTCACTCATTTTATTTAATAATTTCATTATTCAATGCAATCAGTCGTTTTTAAACAATCACTCGAAATTATGTTCAAACAATATCACGTACTAGTATTTTCAATATATGTCTGTATAGAGAATAATGAAACATTTTGTTACTCAATATCAAAATTTAAAACTATCATAGCATGAGTTAATTAAATTGATATATTATTGTGCAGTCTTATTCATATTTTAATTTTTAACTTAGAATCATTTTTTTCAATTACCAGGAACTTAAAAGTAGCATTATATATATTTTTTATCTAAAATTAAAACAATATTACCGTAATATTGTTTTATTAAAATGTAGTTGGGAAGAACTATAAGACATACACCTAAGGTACAGTGGTTGGTTCATGGTATCAGCAAAATAAATTTCCTCCATTCTATTAAGATTATACTTCGTTTTTTAATCCAGCAGACCGTCAAGTAGTAAAATCAAACATGAATAATAACATTGTTGTATTTCTTAATGTAATCCATTCCTTTGTATGGTTCCAACTACAATCGTAAAATTTTATTGTATATTGAGTAAATTGGAGGTATTAAATACTTAGTTAATTTTTGCACTCAATGTATTCTTAAATTAAACTAATATACTTGTGATCTTTTTTACTGTCTGGACAAAAATATTTAATATTTCATTTTACATTAACATAATATTATGAAATCCATCCATCAATAAATATCACTAATTGGGTGTGTATTATTTAATTTCGAAAGTTTTTGTTTATTTAAAAAAGTTACAGCCTATATACGTCCCACTGCTGGGCACAAGGCCTCCCCTCATTTCTGAGAGGGTTTTGGGGCAAGGAAATGCCTGTCGCGCTGCCACAATGCGTGTTGGCGAACTTCACATGTCTTCGAAATATTTTTTTTCTTATTCCTCAGACATGCAGGTTTCCTCACGATGTTTTCCTTCACCACCGAGCACGTGGTAAATCAGCACTTAAAATTGCAATTAACAATTTCATTGGTGCCGGCGGGGATCGAACCCGGGTTACTCGCGTTCTGTTATATTTACAGGGAGCGTTAACCATCTGAGCTACCACGGCTCTCATTTTGTTTATTTATTTAGTTGAAAATTTTTGTTTTAATTTTTTAATACCGATAGTCTATTTCAAATTAGTAGTATTTATTAATAGATCAATTGCATAGGTTAATTTAAAAGAAAAAAAATTGTAAAATATCAGTGCCATAGGCTTCTATTCCGTTCACCTGTTACACCCTATTTTTTCAGACCGTAAAAAATCACCTATACATACGATTTTTCACGTCTTATGATAATCCACCTCCACCCAAACGGATTTAAAAAATGGGTGCGGTTCACACGCGGTGGTAGTGGAGCCTGCAGGATTTATGTAATTAACATATAAATTACATTGTATTAACACTATACTGTATTCTATCTTAACATACGTTAGTCTCTTTTTAATGTCGCTTTTTCGTTTCATCGAGTTTTTCTAAAGAAATTTTCACTTCAGAAACTAGAACTGTATATCATATCGATGTACTTCATACATCCTTTCCAAAATGCGAATGAGTTCTGAGGAATCGTTCATGTTGCACTGCACTACCTTTCCCGCTAATTACTTATGACGTCATCAGGGTGTCGTCTATCCTTAACTACGGCGCCCAGTGAACTGATTTTCGATGACGCGCTAAGGATGCGTCAGAGTTGAGATATTAGATTTATTATGCGAAGATGATTGGATAACATTTTTTATTCATGTATAATAATAGTATTATAATAATAGAAAAAAATAACACGTTTAACCTGAATTTTGGATAATTTTCAAGAAATCTACGCCTCCCGCGTTCGACGCTAGCGGTCAGTCATAGACGACTTTGGCGTGCTGGACATAGTATTTGCTTAGATAAAAATCCATTTTTTTTAAGTTCAATGTTTCTTAGTACTTGTGGCTTTAGGAGACTTGTTTTCTATACCCACATGTTGCTGGGTTTTTTTAAACATAATAATTTTTTGTTTTTTTTTGTCAACTATAGGCGTCGTTGGCGCTCAGGGCCTGCAGGTGCTGGTCAAGTATAGGCAACTTTGGCGCTCAAAAGATTAACTAAAAATCCATAATACAGGAGCAGCAATCCTACTAACAACACTAGTTACTGCCTAATAATGCAAGATCAACATATACTGGTATTTGTTAAACATTTGGTAGATAAAACAAAAATATTGATAATAGTAGCACTTCCCATTGCCACTCTTTCATTAATAATGCCGTCGTGTGTCGCAAGACTGTAAATAGCAAAAAAAATGTGAAACATATATTTTAAGTAGGTAAATTATCTGAGTTTTAAAGACGTTCACGCTATTAGAATACAAACCTTCCTTACACTGAACACTAATGTTCTTATTATCAGCAAATTACCAGTAAACTGCATACATTGCATTAACACCTCGGTGTATTCTACTACCAACTCATATCAAAGGATTCAATTTATTTTCTCACAACATCAAACCCTGTAAGGGTTAGGATTACCCTTTAGAGTAGTAGCGGCCTTAAAAAAGGCGCGTAACGGGCTAAGTGATAAAAGACAGTGCAAGTGCATTTTCATTTAATACGCGCGCCGCATTAATTTTTTTTACTTCGACGACTCATTCGGTAGGCTAATTTTACGAAGGTCGCTTCCAAGGCGTGCAAAGCATTATGAACATTAGAGACGTTATAACTAGGTTTAAACTCGTAAGTATGCTATAAGGGAGAGATCCTTCTGTTCTCGAACTATTATTTATTCTGTGGTTTCTGTTCCGTCAGTATTTCGCAACGGCGTTTCAGTTAAACGACTTATTCCGGACATTATACTGGACAAGTAGACAAATAACACATGAAGTGTCATATTAGTCTCTCAAGAATTAAAAAAACGAAGTATAGCTGTATTACATTTTACATCTAACGCATCTGTGACTTCCACAAACCAGTACCTTTAACTACACTTAATATAACATGCGAACGAATTAACACAAATTACTGTGCACTGCACTAAAATAGCAAGATTTATGTAGGAAGACTAGTTGTTTTATAATTTTATAATCTGTGATGCAGGAGAATTATTTAAATATAAAGCACCGTTTGGTTTTTGAGAACCTGCTTAGTATTTTTCATCTGATACATACTATTTTTTTAAAAAGCAATGATTTAATTTATAAAAACACAATAATCATCATGAGCTGCCAGACCATTGGATTCAGTAAATTAAGCTGCCTTAATTTACATTATCAATCATTATTACAATATTTACACGCGTAAAATGTAGCCATGAACACTTCTCGGGACGTTTGCTAACCGAGAGATGTCACTGATCAAGAAACAGATCCTATATTTATTTATATTAAGTTCAAAGAAAGTCTTGGTTCACTAATTTTACATTAATTTCTATACAAAATTACAGATTTTCAAGAGATTTATATAAAAACTAATGTCTTCGGTATGTAACCCTTTTTCAAGGTGTCGTTTTTATATTGCTTTATATACATAAGGTTATTATAAGACTTCAATTTAAATTATTTTTGTTTTAGCAGTAGTAAATTTTTTATAGCTTTTTAAATTTTTACTAATGATCATGTCATAGAATAGACTGAAGAGTTCACAACATTTGTCAAACATAAAAAGTAATTAACCCTATAGAAATTTCATATTTTACGCCATGTTATTTATTGACGAAATACGAACATTTTTCATGTATTTTATTATTATTTCATGATATATTCTATCAATCAGCCTAGTCGTTGGAAAACGGTTGATTTAAAATAATTGTAAAAAAAAACTTTGTACCGTATCATTTATCATATTAACCTCACCACAAACTGCTTGTTCTAAACTTCGAGAGTTGAGACGAGTGCGGAGTATCAGAAGAAGGATAATTGTAGGGTTTATGTAATCTAAATAGAAATAAAATTATAAAAACACTGCATACTGTTCTATGTCATTGATGTATATGTTTGTCTCTTTTTAGTGCCGCTTTTTAGTTTCAAATCACAACAATTCTAAAGAACTTTCACTTCAAAAGAGAACTTGACTTTTGACAACTCAAGACTTATCGTTTTATAAATCATTAGATGTTGGCATCAATCTATTTTATGACGTCATTTGGAGGTGTATTTAAAGTGCATTAATTTCTTGCATTTATGATTAAATAAATGTCATCCCTTAATTTAAGACCTCTGAAGGTAAAATAGGGTTTATTAATGATTAATCTTGAAACTGTTTCAAAATCAGCATGGCTTACAATTCTCTTTACATACCGAATTGTCCAAACAAGTTCCTTTATTCACCTTTCATACTCTCACTAGCAATTATTTTTTGGTAGCAACATATCGTCATGTAGATAAATTGGCCTAATTGCATTTTACGAACATGCGTTCTTAGTTACTGGAACTAATTGCATAGGTGGTCTATATTTTTAGGTAGTATACTTCAATATATCAATACAAGTAAAATTTTATATACAAAATGCAGTTCTTGTGTTTTTAATTCATATAGCATAGGATTCGTAATGGTATTGTTAATTTTTTATATTTTCACATTCATGCATCCAATACTTCATAAAACTACATTGACTTCACACATTAAAACCTATAAAAATACCCTTTATAAAAATACTGTTTCTCACCACACTCTGCTTTAGAGTCTGTTTAGAATCATGAGTAAGATACAGTTGACACTCAAATTAGAAAAAATAAATTTATTTAATTTCTTACACTCCGAAGCAATGCAATGTTCAAGATTGTTTGCAGTGTTCACACAGAGGACACAATTCCTCAAAAATAAAACAAAGTGTGTGTGCTCACACACCTAAATGCCGGACGTCAATGTCCATTCATGATGCTGCCTGTTTCCTTTAGGTCATTCAGCTGATCCGCGTACTCCGTGTACAGCCTCTGCCACCTGAGTTGTTTGACTAGAAGTGCAAGCATCTCTTCAAGAATATCATGCTTCTTAATTCCCTGAAAAGGATTAAAGTATATCCATCATCAACATTAAGAAATTTCAAATAAGAAAGGACATTGTTAAAAATGGCCTATGAATCAACACGCATGAAACCTTTACAATAATTACAAGTTTTTTTAATTATTTACATTACAATTATTGCAATAGACCGGACACTTCATAATTTCAAAAACATTTTAAAAAGTAATTCACTTGTGTCTTATTCCCCGGTGTTACGATTTATTGGTTTAAATTGAGGTTTTTTCATAGCCGAAGGTATTGTAGATCATACAGCCAATTCTTTGTGACAGCGCACTTAATAAAAGTTTACTACAGATAAGGGTTACAAAACTTAGTTTTCTTAGCGTTTGATCTATCAATAACATTGACGCGTAAGGACCGAGCCGACCGAACAACTAAAACGGACCAGTGCGCTGGCCCTAAAAGTACAGTTTATGGACAACGCGACTCGGTCGACAGTGGTGCGCGCGCAAGACAGATTTGCCTGTCATAAATATGTCTAGTTGCGTGGAAAAAGGGAAAAGGGGAAATTACGATACAAAGATTAAATAGAAATATGGGTTATCGTATCATCGGTTAAATAACATTATATTTATTTTGTTAATATTAAATTATTATATAAACGCATTTTTAAAGTTTTATTTTACAGTTAGTTTAGTTACGTCACCAAAATTAGGCCAGGGTTGGATTCAGACCCTCAAAATATTGTATACGGAAAATAACATTAGGTATACTATTTTTCAAAAATTATATCACGTTTGACGTTTCATGTTTCTTTTATCCCATGTGCCGGGATTTTGGCATCACGCGTCTAGTTTATCTATACGTTTCGTTTTTGCCGGTTTTATTTTTAATTCTGTTTAATTTTTGTCTAAAAAACTTAGTGTAAGTTAAATTTTGAATATTGGTACCTAATATATTTTATATTTAATAAGGGTAAAATGAAAAGAGTACAAAAGAAACCATATTCTGCTTAATTGAATCTGAAAATCTGATTCATAAAATATTTTGAAATTCTCTTTTCAAACCGATTGCTTAGAGCTAAGAGTTTTTATCGTGGTATCATTATAGTTGTATCAAGGATGCAACATAAATGCATCGATCAAGCACCGATTGACCAGAAAGGGAGCTAATTCTAATTTTATTAAAAAAACGCGGTACTCATGTACAATACAGAAATTCTCGATATCGTAGGATTAATATTAAAAAGTAAAAGGACCCAATAATAATACAAGTCGACCTTTAGGTAAAATTATGGTATTTTCGCTTAGTTAATACTATGTAGCATCGTAATAATTTACGATACTACATACTACAAACTATGAAATAATTGTACAATTAGGATAATAGATAATAATATTCACTTCGAAATTCGACCCTGGTTACGTCGTGTTATGATATGACGTTTGTATTATGACAGATGCGCTTCTTTTTCTTGTATGAAAAAGTTATGAGTAAAATATTTACATGGGCCTATCCTTTTTTTTTTGAAATCATTGATCAATAAGGTTTTAAATTAACACCAGAATAAAGCGATTGAAAGCGCGGTGTGAAATGAGCAACATTGACACTGACGGTCGATGAATTGGCAGATGACATTTTTACAAATTTTTAGAACATTTTAACATTTGATAGTAATGCCACTCGCACGGCTCACGCATGTGTGTAATTCGTTTACATTTTCTTACTATTCTTTTTGTTTTTAGTTTTGTAATGCTTGTCTATATTAAACTCTTACATAAAGACTTGACTGTATGAGCTACAATACCTTCGCCTATTAAAAAACTCAAATTAAACCAAAAAATAATAACACCGGGAAAAAAATGTGAAAAAAGTTTTCGAAAATATGAAGTGGCCGATCTATTGAAATAATTGTAATGTAAATTATAAAAAAACGAGTAATTATTGTAAAGGTTTTTGTTTATTTTTACAGTGTGTTTCTATTGACCGCTATTGACCTAATTGTAACCTTAAAATCTGAAAGTGTTTTGATTTTTTTAGAATTCTCAAAAGTGTCCACAGTTTGAATTTAGTTTCAATCAAGCATATACATTGTTTAAAATACAAAAAGTGATTTCACCTCCTTGTTAAAAGAATAATTAATAATTATTTATAAGAAAACCTTTCAAGGAGACCAATAAATATATTGTGTCAATGATGGCTTACGAAACCGATATAGGGTCAGTACAATACAGTAGTGTAGTAGAAGTACAAACTTTTAATAATCTTTTTTAATAAAGTCTTACGACTGAAGGGTTGTTAATAAAGAAGCGTTATTAAAGTTCTACTGAACGGGCGATCAACCTTAAACTTTTTACCGTCTACAACTTACCAGAACTGTAGGCTGCCATTTCTTGGGCGTCGACGTACAGTGACTAGGTCCGAGCATATCATCCAGTATGTTCCTCAACTGGTCTTCCGTACCTGGGATTTGTTAAGTTAATTTTAAAACTAAAGCTTAATGGTAAACTGATGTTTAGACAAAACCTGTTGAATATTGTTAATATTACAAGTTTGGCGAGATGCCGTTACCAGCGCAGCCAATTTTTGTAACTTATAATAAGCCAGTGCTTGAGCACAACCCCACCTGGTGGTAAGTGGTGATGTAGCCCTGGAAGGTAAATCAAGCGTAACAAAAGCCTATTCACTCTTGCCTTGAAGACGCACAGATTGTATTCGGACGGAAAAATAGACGTCAGGAAATTATTTCTTCGCTATACGCATTATGAAAGATAGATAGTGCCTAGTGCGTAGAATATCGACAACAGAGGGGTGAAGACACGCCGACCGCCTGGTTTTCAGATGGTGGTAAGAAGATGAAGGAATTAAAGAGTGTAATTTATTTAAGTGTAATGTAAAAATTAAAAAGTGTAATTCCTGCGCAGACATGCCTCCCCCATTGGTTGCCTCATAGTGGGGTATTTGCCATAGTTACCACACTGGCTAGTGGGTTGGCAACCACAATTTTTTATTTTTAGTCATTATTAAGTAAACACTAAGGACTATTTCCTGATTTTTTTCTCCCTGACGCCTCTTATAGAATATGTGGCAGTGGACATTCTTACACCGCGACTAAACGGCTGGGGGAGATGTCGAAAGCTTTTTAAAAAGTAATTAAATATACTTGTACGCCGAAAGAGATGTCAATATTTTTTTGTTATTTCTTGTGACAATCCTTAACTCTCTGTGTTTACTGTCTACTAAAGTAACTACATACTTAGTGTTAAAGTATTTAATACTGACTGGCGTTTATGGTCCAAAACCATATTTTTCTCTTTATTAGGATTACCAACGACTGATACATCATTACATCTTTAATTATAATTTATGGTTGTCTTATTTCTAAATGTACAATCACTTAAAGGTGAAATTACAGCATGCTATCAATTTACAATTTAGTACTATTAAGTGACTTATTAAGTCAAGTAACCACCGATTGTACTCATATAAATGAAAACAACTTACCATGATTAACAAGGTGGCTGAAGAGTGAAGAGAGCCAATGTTTGTAGTCTTTTGCCAGTCTCAGATGTAGACATGAGGCCACTTGCGCCTCCAGCCAACTTCTAGCAGCACCTGCGCTGTAGCTGCTGGGAGCGTACAAATTTTATTGATTAAACTTACATAGTAGAGAAACAGTCATAAAATCAATAGTGTTGCAATTATTAACCCTTCAATATGCACACGGTCGGATCCGACAGCACTTTAAACCATAAAATTTATATTTAGAGACTACTTGTCTATGAAGAAATTTCGTATTATAGGCTCCACGTGAAATTTTCCATCCTTTAATGCAATAAAAAACTCAGTCTATAGTATTTATTTATAATCTACGTTCATTTCGTACGACTGTTAAATGTGGCGTGTTATTATGTTGATTTTTGGATTTTTCTAGTGTGTTATTAGTTTTTAGTATAGTGTTTTATTATAAAATAGTTATAAAAGCTTTTTTGTGAATATAATTTATCTTTTTACATAAATAATTTCGGGTAATACATAGAAATAATTGTGATATTCACGCTGCTGTCTGCGATGTACAATGGACAAAAATCTATTTGTAATGAAGTAAAATTACTAAAGCAAGTAATATAACATAATAAATAAACAGAAACAAGTATTATATTGAAATTTATAATGAATTTTATTGAAAATATATGTACGACAAATTCCATGTTAGGTTATTTTTTAGCGACGCCGCGTCACGCGAAGCGGGCGGTGCGAACATTTTAGCTGGGGACTGAGGGGTTAATAATCATATAAATATTTTATAGAGCCGTGGTAGCTCAGATGGTTAACGCTCTCTTTAAATATAACAGAATGCGGGTAACCCTGGTTCGATCCCCGCCGGCACCAATGAAATCGTTGATTGAAATTTTAGGTGCTGATTTACCACGTGCTAGGCGGTGAAGGAAAACATCGTGAGGAAACCTGCCTGTCTGGGGGATAAGAAAAAAAATATTTCGAAGACATGTGAAGTTCGCCAACACGCATTGGGGCAGAGCGGCGGACACTTCCTTGCCCTAAACCCTCTCAGAAATGAGGGGAGGCCTGTGCCTAGCAGTGGTGGTGTCCTTAAAGTATTGAAAGATTGAAGATGTGTGAAAATAAAGTAAGGAGTTTTGCTTGATTTGTTTTGGTACGCCACTGAGCTCAATTTTTTTAGCAATATTGAATGTATGAAGTTAAGAGTTCCATAGGGTAAGTTCAAAGTCACGCTGCAGTTTATGGTTGTATGTAGTATGGATGAGTCGAATCGATCGGGAAAGACCTTACTCACAGGTTATCACAGAATGTATTTAGTAGCATGATTGTGACAGCATTTGGCTACTATTTTATGTTGATATTTTGTGAGAGCCTGGTTCTTCCTCGGTTTAGCCGACCAATCCGTTGTACAAGTATAATATACACGTATAGCATGGTTTTATCGCCATCGAAAACTTTTAAATTAAATGAGATTGTGTAACAAAAAGTGTTCACACGCGGTAAGTGACTTTCAGTAGAAACTGAGATAATGGGAAACATTGTGTACTACATAGATATAGTATAATATAGATTGGCGATGGAGTGATTAGGGAGAGACCAAAATCAAAATACACCAGTGTAAGTGTAATGTGCATGTGTGGGTACAAATAGTGCTGCACCATGCATTGCCTGCCTCAACTTTAATTATCGATACTGGTTGCAGTACTGACGCGGACGATTTAAGTGAATATTTTTACCCAGTTACGGCGAATCCAAAAGGATGTTTACAATTTTAAAAGGCTATGTATGTATGTATACATAGCCTATATGTTCATCTGTTCTCTCAGATCTTCTAAACTACTCATCGTATTTTGACAAATTAGATATCTTTAAAAGCAATGTACCCTTTCGCGGGTTTCAAGCTGCACGAAATCATGTAAAAACTATCATGGAGTGGCGGCTTATTGCGGACATATAATGAAACATTGAAATATACACAATATTAAAAAACTATAATAAAATAAAACCAAAAACATAAAATATCATATAGTCCTTCTCCCCGTGGTATCGTGTTAAGAGCTTTGGCTGCGTTTCGATGCTAATTAAATAAATGTTGAAATATCGTGTCTGGGTATCCAATAAAAAGTGTTATTCGGGATATTCTCGACATTACGAAAATACATGTTATAAAAATGTTAACTATATTAGTATTAATAGTTAGTTTTTTTTATAAAACTGAAGTATTCAACGAGCTTACACTCCACCTGACGATGGTAGTGGCTACTGCAGCTCATGGAAACTTGCAGCTAATTTCACACAACGCTCATTGTCACCTCTACTGACTGAGATGGAATACCTTACAGCCTTTACTTATACCGGTATTATGTAAGTGGGTGATACTATCCCAGATGAGCTCAGTGACAAACATAGGGTCCTGCTACTTAGTTCATACACGAACTTCAAAAATTTATAATATAGTCGCTGAAAGAAACGTTGTTCTTAAAATAATTATATGCGTGTTATGATGTGTATATAAATAAATGTTTATAACTAAAACTAAAACCAAACTTTTTTTTTATAAAAAAGGTATTAAAAAAGACTATGATGTAATTTTTAAGAATCTTTTTAGAATTTTTTCCATGTTGTAGAGCCATGCTGCAGTTATATTAGTAGTATAGTTGTAGCACGAATGGGTCGACTCAACCGGGGAAGGACCACGCTCTCACACAATACCAGCGTAAAATAGTAGCTTTATTGCTGCTGTGTTTCGTGTGGTGAGTGTAGAGACACGCACCACACGAAACACAGCCTTCGGTTCTCTAACCGAAGACCCTTTTTACTGGAAACGAGGCATTTCATCTTGGTCCTCACGGGTGACAAACGCATCTGCATTTTGATTCGTAATCAAGGATAGATGAAGGTGTCTATGGGCCACGGCAGCCACTTGCCATCGGGTGAACTGTGTACTCGTTTGTCACCCTATCACCCTATCCTATAAAAAAATCTTTCAAAGAGAAATATATATATATATATATATATATATATATATATATATATATATATATATTTAATTTACTGTATAAATGTTGTGAGCTAACCATGCTGCAGCTATATTATGTTTGCAGTACGAATGGGCCAGCTCGACCGGGGAAGAAACAGAAACACAAACTTTATTATTCAATACAGATTATAAATAATACTTATTGAAAATCACTTTTTTTAATTTACCACTGGTTCGAAAAAAAACAGCAAGAAACCTAGCGGGATTTTTATAAAAAAATAATAATAACAGCTTGCAATCATGTTACAATTAGCAACACATAAATTAGAAATAGCTTGGTAGTGATCACCTTTCCCAGTGGTTATTACCATCCATAAATTCCTTTATATTATTATAACCCTTTTTATACAAACTTAGTTTAATAAAATTTTTGAACTTTGTGCAGGCCAATTTTTGTATATCTACTGGAATTTTGTTGTAAAAGCGTTTACATCGCCCCAAGAATGAATTACTGACTCAGTGGAGGCGAGTAATTGGTACTACTAGCTTGCGTCTGTTCTTAGTTTATTTCTTTACAGAATGAATAACACTTATGTTTGTAAAATTACTTTTATTTTTGTGTACGTACTGTTGCGCGCCCACAGGAAGTGGACCTGGTCGAGCCCCGACGGTTCGACAAAAAATGAGATTGACTTCATTATGACGACCAGACGCCAACTGTTCAGTGATGTCTCAGTGATCGCAAGGGTGAAAACTGGCAGCGATCACCGAATGGTTAGAGGCACACTGAACCTAAACGTTAAGTTGGAGAGGTCTCGTCTAATGAAGTCAACGCTCCGTCCCCCCTCGTGCTCTAATCCAGAATCCCGAAACCTTTCAGCTCGAGTTACGTAACCGCTTCCAGTGCCTAGAAGATTGCAATGCAGTGGACGATATGAACGACAAGCTCGTGGAAACTGTCCATGCGGTCGGAGCTAAGTTCTGCAAGACCCGCCGCAGAAGAACACAAAAACTCTCCGATCACACTCTTAATCTCATGGCTGTTAGACGGGAGATGAGGCTGCAATCGTCAACAGATTTGACAGCATACAGGCAACTGAACAGACAGATCTCCAAATGCATACGGCGAGACTTACGCAACTTTAATACTTCTCGTATTAAAGAAGCGATCGAGCGGAACCAGGGCTCCAAAGTCTTTGCCAGAGATCTGTCTGCCAGAAAGAGCCAACTGTCAAGGCTGAAGACTGAGTGTGGCAACATCGTTTCCGGGACACCTGAGATTTTGAGTGAGATTGAGAGGTTCTATGGGCAGCTGTACACATCATCGTTGGAGCCACACGCAAGTGTGAGTAACGATCCAAGAGCAAGTCTTATCCGACACTATTCCGATGATATCCCGGACGTCAGTCTAAGCGAGATTAGAATGGCTCTCCAGCACCTTAAAAACGGCAGGGCCCCAGGCGAGGATGGAATTACAGCGGAGCTTCTGAAAGCGGGTGGAACACCGGTACTTGAAGTCCTTCAGAAGCTCTTCAATTCCGTCCTCCATGGTGGCACTACTCCAGAGGCGTGGAGCAGAAGTGCGGTGGTCTTGTTCTTTAAGAAAGGCGACAACGCTCTCTTAAAGAACTACAGACCGATTTCCCTTCTGAGCCGCGTCTACGTGCTGTTTTCGAGAGTCATTACGAATCGTCTCGCACGCAGACTTGACGACTTCCGGCCTCCCGAACAAGCCGGTTTCCGAAAAGGCTTCAGTACCATAGACCACATACATACCCTGCGGCAGATTGTACAGAAGACTGAAGAGTACAATCTGCCACTTTGTCTGGCGTATGTGGACTATGAGAAAGCCTTTGATTCCGTCGAAATTTGGGCGGTGCTACAGTCCCTTCAGCGGTGCCAAGTTGACTGTCGGTATATCGAAGTGCTGAAGTGTTTGTACAGTAGGGCTACGATGGCTATCCGAGTACAGAACCAGAGCTCGAAACCTATCCAACTGCAGAGAGGTGTAAGACAGGGTGACGTTATATCCCCGAAACTCTTCACCGCTGCATTGGAAGACGTTTTCAAGCTACTGGACTGGAAAGGATACGGTATTGACATCAATGGCGAGTACATCACTCACCTTCGATTTGCCGACGATATAGTCCTTATGGCAGAATCGCTGGAGGACTTAAGCACTATGCTCAATGACCTCAATAGTGCCTCCCAACGGATAGGTCTTAAGATGAACATGGACAAAACAAAGATCATGTTCAATGTCCATGTCACACCTATGCCGGTAGTTGTTGGGAGCACTATGCTCGAAGTTGTTGACGAATACGTTTACCTGGGACAAATAGTCCGACTAGGTAAGTCCAACTTCGACCGAGAGGTCAATCGACGGATTCAACTCGGCTGGGCAGCGTTCGGGAAATTACGGCATATCTTTTCGTCAGGTATACCTCAATCTCTAAAAACTAGATTGTACAACCAGTGCGTGTTGCCAGTGATGACTTACGGATCTGAGACGTGGTCCTTCACTGCTGGCCGTATGAGGACGCTTAAGGTCGCTCAGCGAGCTATGGAGAGGGCTATGCTCGGAGTTTCTCTGCGTGATAGACTCAGAAATGAGGATATCCGCAGTAAAACCAGAGTGACCGACATAGCCCAACGGATTAGTAAGCTGAAGTGGCAATGGGCCGGCCATATAGCTCGAAGAACCGATAACCGATGGGGAAGAAAGGTTCTCGAGTGGCAGCCTCGTACCGGTAGGCGTAGTGTAGGGCGACCCCCCACTAGATGGAGTGACGACCTGGTAAGACATGCAGGAAGTCGATGGATGCAGGTGGCTCAGGACCGTGCTTTGTGGCATTACTTGGGGGAGGCCTATGTTCAGCAGTGGACTTGTGAAGGGCTGTAATGATGAATGATGACTGTTGCGCGCCATAATTAATGCCTGGTACATGGCGAGTTACCATCAGCGCCATCTAGTATAGAATAGCAGAACTAGGAGAGTCAAGATCACGGGATATCAAAAACAAGAGGAAGCCCAGAGTGGGCGTGGCAGGCGTAACACAATTAGTGACAGTAGAACATAATCAAACATAATTGACTGTCAGTCACAGACTGAAATTATCGCGAGCTAACTTTTGTGCAGTATTAGAGTGTAGAAACAAAAGCAAAAATATAAATATTTCAAATGGAGGTGTTTCGTACCACAGGTATGTGTAATTTTATTTGTTTTTGCATAGAAACGTGAATAAACATGAAATGTAACAGTACATTAAATTTTCATAAAAGTATTGAGAGGCCAAAGTTAATATATTAATTTCTTTAAATTTTTGTTCGATCGACTCTTTAGGTTTCAAATCATAGAATGCTCTAATGACCCTCTTCTGTAAAGAAACATAATTTCAGTTTCAGTTGCGTATCCCCATACCAAAATACCATACGACATTATTCTATGGAAATCGCTAAAGTAAACTAGTCTAGCTGTTTCAACACTGGTAAGACTTCTTATCTTTTTTACAGCATTTGCAGCAGAACTAAGTCTGTTTGCTAGTTTTGATATATGGGGCATTGAAGCTTTGCGTATAGCGTTATTCCAAGAAAAATGGTAGTATCAACAAGACTCATCCCCCCCCCATTTGAAATTTTATTAATGATAGCATGTTTGACTTTCGGAGTTATGAATTTTAAACATTTAGTTTTAGTGCCATTTGAATGCAAATTATTAACATTAAACTAACTTACTAATTTAGATATAGCATTGCTTACTTCGTCATAATTTAGTAACTGTCGTTTAATTTGAAAATTAATGAAGTGTCATCAGCAAATAATACTATATCATGGTTATCCCCTACTATGTAGGTTAAGTCATTAATATATACAACAAACAAAAAGGGGCCAAAAATTGAGCCCTGAGGCGCGCCCATTCGTATTATCGACCCGGAAGAAATCATACCATGAATGACAAATTTTTGCGTTCTGTTACTTAAATATTAAATAATTAATTTAAGAGCATTACTTCTTACACTGTAGTGTTGAAGTTTCCTGATTAATGTTTCATGGTGAACACAATCGAAGGCTTTGGATAGGTCACTGAATATACCTAAAGCATCCTGCGCATTCTCCCATGCATTGAAGATATATTTAATTAACTCAACAACAGCATCAGTTGTCAAAATCAAAATTTTACTAAGGATTGACAGTACAGAAATAGATCTTAAATTGGCGGGGTTCAATGTACTACCTGATTTAAATAAAGATATTACTTTACTATGCTTCATGAAATCAGGAAGCACACCAGATTCGATACTAGTATTAAAAATATCAACAAGTTGAGGTGCGATTGTATCACAACTTTAACGGAAAGAAGAGTTACGATATAACAAATACCAGAGTAAAATAGCTGCTCATTTCCGTTGTTTCAAATGGTGAGTAGTGTAGAAAAATGGAGACCCTTTTTACAATAAACAAGGCTTTTCATCTTAGTCCTCTGGGGCGGCAACGCATCAGCATTTTGATTCTTAATCGATGGTAGATGTAGATTTTTACGGGCCACAGCATCCACTTACTATCAGGTGGTGTGTGTGCTTGTATGCTATTCTTATTCTATTAAAAAAACTACTTAAAATATTTTGCAATGTTTTGTTATAATTAAATAAATTTCAATAGTAATTTAAATAATAAGTGTTTATGGTTGTATGTGTTGTAGTTTTACCCTTAATGTACTTCTATGTTACCGTTACAACCTATTAAAGTCCACTGCTGAAAATAGGTCTCCCCCATAGATTGGTTCATACATATCCCATGTTTGCCATAGTTGCCACGCTTGGCAAGCGGGTTGACAATCGTAGTTTTTTTAGATTTAGTCGTTATAAAGAAGACGCTGCTGCCCATCTCTTTGTTTCCCTTTGTCGCCTCTTACGACACCCACTGGACGATAAGGGATAGTGGATATTCTTACACCGCCCACTACACGCTGGACACCTATGGGAAAAACATTTTTCTTTAAAGTACTTACCGTCAAATATTTCCTTTTGGAACCCATTATTCTCTATTTATTTTTCAACCGTTTTGTCGAACATCAATATTTTGTAAAACTCTCACATAGAATCTTCACACACAGTATATATATAAACCCTAATTCTAATAATAAATAATTTGTTCATATGATTCACAAAATATTTAGCTACGGGACCCTAAAAATTTAAAACGAGATAGTGTAGCGCGCAGTGTATTCCGTGACGTTGGCGTGCGCGGCGCTGCGGTGTAGCGTGCAGTGTACTCACATGACGTTTGCGGGCGGGCGGAGCGGTGGCTGGGGCGCGAAGGGCGTGCGCGGCGCGGTGGTGTAGCGTGCAGTGTACTCACGTGACGTTGGCGTGCGGGCGCAGCGGTGGCTGGGGCGCGAAGGGCGTGCGCGGCGCGGCGGTGTAGCGTGCAGTGTACTCACGTGACGTTGGCGTGCGGGCGCAGCGGTGGCTGGGGCGCGAAGGGCGTGCGCGGCGCTGCGGTGTAGCGTGCAGTGTACTTACGTGACGTTGGCGTGCGGGCGCAGCGGTGGCTGGGGCGCGAAGGGCGTGCGCGGCGCGGCGGTGTAGCGTGCAGTGTACTCACGTGACGTTGGCGTGCGGGCGCAGCGGTGGCTGGGGCGCGAAGGGCGTGCGCGGCGCGGCGGTGAGCGTGCAGTGTACTTACGTGACGTTGGCGTGCGGGCGCAGCGGTGGCTGGGGCGCGAAGGGCGTGCGCGGCGCGGCGGTGTAGCGTGTAGTGTACTCACGTGACGTTGGCGTGCGGGCGCAGCAGTGGCTGAGGCGCGAAGGGCGTGCGCGGCGCTGCGGTGTAGCGTGCAGTGTACTTACGTGACGTTGGCGTGCGGGCGCAGCGGTGGCTGGGGCGCGAAGGGCGTGCGGTGCGCGGCGCGGCGGTGTAGCGTGCAGTGTACTCACGTGACGTTGGCGTGCGGGCGCAGCGGTGGCTGGGGCGCGAAGGGCGTGCGCGGCGCTGCGGTGAGCGTGCAGTGTACTTACGTGACGTTGGCGTGCGGGCGCAGCGGTGGCTGGGGCGCGAAGGGCGTGCGCGGCGCGGCGGTGTAGCGTATAGTGTACTCACGTGACGTTGGCGTGCGGGCGCAGCGGTGGCTGGGGCGCGAAGGGCGTGCGCGGCGCTGCGGTGTAGCGTACAGTGTACTCACGTGACGTTGGCGTGCGGGCGCATCGGTGGCTGGGGCGCGAAGGGCGTGCGCGGCGCGGCGGTGTAGCGTGCAGTGTACTCACGTGACGTTGGCGTGCGGGCACAGCGGTGGCTGGGGCGCGAAGCGTGTGAGCGGCGCGGCGGTGTAGCGTGCAGTGTACTCACGTGACGTTGGCGTGCGGGCACAGCGTTGGCTGGGGCGCGAAGGGCGTGCGCGGCGCGGCGGTGTAGCGTGCAGTGTACTTACGTGACGTTGGCGTGCGGGCGCAGCAGCGGCGGGGGCGCGGATGGTGTGCGCGGCGCTGCGGGCAGCACGCGGGACGCGGGAAGTGCACGGGGCCGCGAGCTGCGTACCGCACGCCAGCCGCCGCCCGCACGCCGCACGGGGTCGCTGGCGTCCGCCCACACCACCCTGCGAACACACATACCGTACCCCACATATTAATACTCGTTCTCCCCACCGTACAGTGCAGCGTTGGGATTCCAACTCCGCTAAATGACAGCTCCGTAGCGCAGTGGCTTAGTTTGAGTTACTGCGGTGAGGACCGCAGATTCGAATTTCACACCACGGAACATGTATTTATATGGCCAACAAATAGTTGTTCCAAACTGATAAAATTTTATTTTAAACATGATTTTTCAATAGTAATCACATTGTGTAAGCACCTAACTCCTTTCTATTATTATTAACCCTCACCACAAGTAAATTGTGTAGCGACAAATAGTGTAAAGTATGAATATCTGTCAAATACCACATTATTATTTTTATAAACATATTAAAATTTTACACAAAAACAACAAAATTTACGACAATATCTACTACTAAAATATTCCTGATAAAAATACCAGCAACAGGAAGCAGCATCAAAAGTACGGACAAACAGAGATGAGAATTTAATAAAAATTTATTATGATCAAATCTATTACTTATTTTCTGATTAGATAATTTTAAGAAATTATTTGTTAAAACTTACCATGCACATAATTTCTTGCTGTAAATATAACTTTTTCCATTACTTAATGAGATCATTGGGTTGCCATCCTCCAAAAGCGAGCAATTCGTAACTGTAACTGTAAAAAGTAATGATTATAAAATATTGTAGCATAAGGCCAGGGGTTGGTTTGTATATGATTGCATTTTTTGTCACGTCTCTTTCACGTTATTTGGTTTTGAGGAAATATTAATTTATTACATTTATTACAGCCTATCAAAAGTCTATTGCTGCATATAGGCCTCGCACACGGATTGCCTTATGGAGGAATCTCTATAATTGATACGCTTAGAAGGCGGTTTAGTAAACGTAATTATTTATTATTGTCGTTATTATCAGCAAGATGGGCAGCAGCTCATCTCTACACTGGTTTCATTCCCCTCTATCCCTTTCGACACCCACGGGATGAGTGGTAGTGGATTGGACAATGCATTAAATCCAGAACTTAACTGACATATTAGTTAAATGTGGCAGAGCCATGCTACAAGCTTTATTGTTATGTACATGCGATAACCGTGAAATGAAAAGAGTGTGCTTTTCGGTTTTTTTGGTGGAAAATAAAAGACTTTTCTGTATAATCTGCATTTTTCTCATGGAGTAAGCTCTTTTCTTGAAGGTCCCCAGGTCGTATCGGTCCGGAAAAATCGCCGGTGATAAACTATTCCACAGAGAGGTCGTACGCGGAAGAAAATTCCTTTTGAAAAGTACTGTGGTGGACCGCCAAGCATCCAAATGGTGTGGATGGTATCGGGACGCTTGCCGCGTAGTGCGTTCACGAAATTTGGCGGCTGGGATTAATCCGAACAATTCTTCAGAGCACTCTCCATGGTATATGCGAAATAAAATGCAAAGAGATGCAACATCTCTTCGCAGTGCCAGTGAATCGAGCCGATCGGAAAGCACTCGGTCGTCGACGATTCGAGCCGCTCTGCGCTGGATGTGGTCAAGTGGAAGGAGCTGGTACTGGGGAGCCCTAGCCCAGAGATGGAAATATATATATATATATATATATATATATATATATATATATAAAAATAACGTTGACAAACGAGCACACACCTGATGCTAAGTGGACTCTGTGACCCATAGACATCTACATCTATCCTTAGCTAAGAATCAAAATGCAGATGCGTTGTCACCCCTGTGAAATAAGGTGGAATGCCTCCACCAATGTATTAAAAAATATAGGAATTTTCTTACCGCCATGTGACAATAAATTCCTAAAACATAAAGGCTTGATCACGCAGGAAGCGTTCGCAAGTTCCCATATAGCGAGTTCCGCTGTTGTCGTAACTACTAACAGCGTATCGCCTGTGAGCGTCATTTTAGCGGCCTGGGACATCAGTGCTGAAAGGGGACAAAAATGTGTAACGTTAGTAAAAAAGGATTTCCCTTACTTATAATCGACGATTATCGCTTACTTAAAATATGAAGTAATTTTCTTTATACCTGTCCTTTTCTATTATCATACAGCAAAAAGAAAAGAATATTTAAGTATTTGTGATGACAGCGATAAGAGATGCCATCGTTCCAGCTCGTTTAGTGAATATCAAAATAGTTGAAAAATATGTATGAAAACCTGAAATTTTCGGGAAAATGCCTGAAAGGCTATTTAGAAAATTAAAACACGCGATGCACGTTAATAGCACACGGTGCGCACGGCACTGGTAGTTCGAGCTGCGAGATGCACTCACCGAGCGACGGCAGAGCGCGCGCAACGTGCGCTCGCACCAAACGCCACACACACGCGATGCACATCACCTGCACACGATGCACACGGTGCAAACGGCACCGGTAGTACGAGCTGCGAGGTGCACTCACCGAGCGGCGGCAGTGCGGGCGCCACACGCACGCGATGTACGTCACCTGCACACGGTGCGCACGGCACTGGTAGTGCGAGCTGCGAGGTGCACTCACCCAGCGGAGGCAGAGCGCGCGCAGCGTGTGCTCGCGCCAGGCGCCACACGTGCAGCGTGCCGTCTGCGCACGACACGCACACCCACCGCGCGTCGCACGCGATGCACGTTACTGGTGAACCTGCACACAACACCTACTGCTTTAGTCATATTATAACTGCCCCCTTGCTCTAATGCTCGTACAATGTGATTTAAATAAGAATACGTCGTCCTCGTACAACCGTCGTCAATCATCAAAAGTACGGCTTGCAAAGAAAATTAATTTTCCATTTTTTTGTTTATTTAACTGAGTCTTAGTATTATAAAATTTAATACAGCCATAACTAGTTTTAAAAATAATTTAAAACTGTTTTTTTCTCTATTTTCATTATTGGCAAATGTACGGGTTACCGCACATATTTTATGTAATTTTATTTCAATGACTCGTTTATTTAGGTCACGCAGAAACAATGCATTTGTTACTTGTGAAATCATGTAACTTCCGTACTTTTGCCTATACATCAATTTATAATTCTTTACAATAAATTCAGTGTTAGATCGACTTTCATTGGGTTTGTTTCGTACACTAACTTTCCCTTGCATCCCATCTGCACTCATTCATCTTATATACTGTATACACCTTACAGTGTTTTTGGTCCTTCGAGCCGGATTTGAACCAGCGACCTATGGACCCAGGAAACCTTAGGCTTACGCTGGATTCCCTCGTCAGACATCTTTGTATTCGAGAACATATTCGAAGAAGAGACCAGTGAGGACGACATAACAAAACGACAGTTACTATCCAACATCTCAAAGCCAAGCCAATGGGCTTTCTGTGTCCACTATCCGTCCGAGCAAAGCTTCTGTTCCAACGTACATGGTCTGAAGAAGCTGCAGATTGGGATACGCGCTTAACTGAGAACATAACCCACGAGTGGAAAAAGTTGAAGTGTGATTATCAGAACATAGATCAGCTCAAGATTCCTTGATATATGGGCGATAAAAACCATTACATAATACATGGCTTTTGTGACGCGTCCGAAAAGACGTATGCCTACGCTATTTACGTTGTCACAAAGAGTCCTAAAGGCGAGTTCACATCGACACTTGTGACAGCTAAAACAAAATTAGCACCGTTGAAAAACAAGTTGACGTTGCCTAAGCTTGAGCTATGTGGTGCGTTACTACTATTTCAACTCATGAAAAAGATCATGGAAACTATGCCAAAAAACCTGCAAATCTACGCTTGGACCGATTCTATGGTGGTTCTTGGTTGGCTGTATGGAGACGTTAGTAGATGGAAACAGTTCGTTGCCAACAGAGTTCGTACAATACTCAACATCATTCCATCATCATCTTGGCACCATGTTCGATCTGAAGATAACCCTGCGGATTGTGCTACAAGAGGACTGTCGACACAGCAGTTATTAGAATATCAACCGTGGTGGCAGGGCCCGCAGTGGGTGTTGTCATTTGATCCCAACATGATCAAAAATGAAATATACCAACCACCAGAATTAGAAACCAAGAAAACTAGTGTGAACGCAGCCTTATCTCACAAAAATGATTTTATTTTACAATTATTACATGAATGCAGCTCGACGCAGCGCATCGTAACAACAATCGGCTGGCTATCACGTTTCACACAATGGTTGCGAAACAAACAAATACCTCGGCAAAACTACCTATCGTCAACAGAAAAGCAACATGCTCTGAATTTAGTTATCAAAACTGTACAATCGATAGAATTTGAAGATGACATTCAACAACTTCAAAAACAAGAAAAGTTGAGAAGATCCAGTAAGCTGCTGAGCCTCAATCCATACATTGACCCTAGTGATGGATTGCTGAAAGTTGGTGGACGATTGAACAACTCATTGCTTAGTCAATCAGCACCCAATACTACCAAGTCATGACAAACTCACTGAGATCATACAGAAGGCTCACTCCACCACACTACACGGTGGACCTAGCTTGACTTTGTCTCACACCCGAGAAAACTACTGGATTCTCAGTGGGCTTCGCACAGTGAAGAGAGAACTTCGCAAATGTGTGACATGTCGACGCTTCAAAGAAGAGAAAAGAACACAGATTATGGTTGATTTACCAGAGCCTCGCGTCACACCTTCGCGCGCATTCACTCATTGTGCCGTTGACTTCACTGGAGCCTTTGACATCAAAGCAAACAAAGGTCGTGGAGTACGAACACATAAGGGCTATGTCGCAGTGTTTGTTTGTCTCTCGACAAAGGCTGTCTATCTTGAGTTGGTGTCCGACCTTAGTACACCTGGATTTCTGGCTGCATTTCGACGTTTCTGCGCCAGAAGATCTACCCCGAAACATATGTACAGCGATCAGGGTAGAAACTTCATCGGAGCATCCAAAGAACTTAAGAAGGAATACAAAGATATCCTCGCAACGATCAATGAAGAGCTAATAAACAAGATCGACGACCTTGACATACAGTGGCATTTCAATGCGCCAGCCTACCCTTCTGCAGGTGGACTATGGGAGGCTGCCGTTAAGAGCTTGAAACACCATCTTCGTCGTCGTCACACTGCTTCACCAGATCGAAGCGTGTCTAAACTCTAGGCCTCTACTAGCCTTGACTGAAAGCCCAGAGGATGAATACCTAACACCGGGACATTTCTTAGTTAGTTATATTCTTAGTATAACCTGTTCGCCAAGCGAGCTCCCGTTCGCTCGGGACCGTAATGGCGGGAAAATTTGAAAATTAGCAAATTTTTTGCTATATTGCAAATTTTGCTATATTTTCACTTTGAGACAATATTTATGGATAAAACTTACAGGAATTCTTGTTGAATGTATAAACTATCGAATAAAATTATTTTTGGTTGCTAGAAATTGTAATAAAATACGTAAATTACCCTGTGTAACATAGTAGTGGTAATACTTCAATTTTAGTGACAAAATTACTACTAATTTGAATTCTACACTTTTGTTTTTAGAGAAATTTATATGAAAATGTTTGGAAATATGTATATTTTTATGTTTTATGTGTTTCCATTCGTTACTCATACCAAAATATTAAAATATAAAAAAATTAAAAAAAAAATAATAATATTTTATCTGTGTGACATTTAGAACAATATTTCTAAAATAGTTTTGTGTGAATTTGAAATAAATACAACGTCAAGTTATTTGAAATATGTAAGAAAACTATTTTTACTTACATTTTACACTAAAAATAAATGAGAATTTGAAAAATAACACATTTATGACCCAGCCGCCATAATGGGCCTTCCAGATTTTGAAGCACTTTTGGCAATTTACTTTTCACTTTTTATACCACAAATTATATATATATGTGTTCACTATATTACAAGGAATATAAAAAAGTATAATACTTTCGTTTTTAGTCCAGACACAAATATAAAATTCTATAAAAAAGACGGAGCACCTTCATCAAAACGACACGTGGAACGCCGAAAGTTCAGAGTGATTTCTTTTTTTTTTTCTAAGAAACATTGCCAGGTTATGGTTTAAAATAAAAGAGCATATCTTTGTCTTTGATACTATTATCTATTGCATAGTGTCTTTGGTTTTGTTTAAAACGAAAAAATAGTTTTTTCATAGGTACACACGTTTACATAATTCTGATCAAATTAGATCACTGCTTGGCGGACGTAAGGTAGGTATTGTACGATCAAAAGTGCGCATGGCTTGGCTTACAGGTTCTTACCCCCTGGCAAATGGTTAATGGGTAGGGTCATTGATGTTCACTCTGGTAAGGATGGATACGTACGGGTGGTGTCAGTCAAAACCAAAAATGGAATCATGCAGAGGCCGATCTTAAAACTAACCGTTCTACCGGTGAGAGAAGAACTCACGGAAAAACATAAAAGCAACGATGTTCAATCATCTACATGTGATGACGTCACAACAACTGACTCGCAAGCAAAACAACAACGACCAAGGCGCACGACGAGAAGGCCTGTCAGAACATTCTTTACGATGGTGGTGATGCTGTTCCTATGTCTGTTCACCCCTAGCCAATGTTCATACAACATATCAGCATTGGATAACAACCAAAACATTTATTTTGACAAAATGTATGACATAAATCTTATACGGAATGAATGGAAATTAATTGTGTACTATAATTTGAGTACATACTGGTCAGCATTAAGTCACGTGAAAAGTTACGTCGGTCACTTGGAAGAGTACCTACACGGCATTACGCTTCCAGTACAATACAAGAGTATCATATATCAGCTGCAACATGAAATATCCGAAATTCAACATTACAACAAGATACTCAAGAACGGTGTTCACAGAAGACAAAAAAGAGGACTGATCAATGGTGTGGGATATGTGGCCCATTCCTTATTCGGTGTCCTGGACGAGCGTTTCGCGAAGAAATATGAAAAGGACATAGAAAAATTTCTATGAACGAAAATCACCTACAACTTCTGCTTCGAAACCAAACAAGTGTCATAGAAGCACAGTACAATATTCTTCAAAGAAACGAAGCCATCATGAACAAGCAGTTTGGATTGGTTCAGAAATACCTACAGAATATAACCTTCACTACCAACCGAATAGAGAAAATGAATAACGACGAGCTACATATCCTGTCAGCATCCATGTCAGCCATGATTATTATCACTAATGTTCGGCACTTGCAGGAAAGTGTTATTAACACCCTAACAGACCTTGCAAATGGTCATATGGACGCTCACTTATTGCCTCCAGAACAATTGGAAGAGCAGCTCAATATTATATACAGACACATACCAAATGACCTGACTTTGCCTGCCGATATGCACGATTTTAGGGAACTATACAAATTGATGAAGATAAGTGGTGACCTGAGCAACTCTTATCTGATTATCAAAATTAAGATTCCTCTGGTCAACAAGGAACCCTTTGAGCTGGATAAGGCTATAAGTCTTCTGCAGCAGAACTACATTGTGGAATTTATAACACCCTATATCGCATTCAATTTGCAAAAAGACCTGCTCCTCACGCTATCAGAATCCGACATTCAAAATTGTGTCTATACACAGACAAACAGATTGTTATGCTCTATAGATAAACCGGTTTATGAGTTACAAATACAACAAGCAATTTGTAACTTGAGCATACACGGTAAAATAATGTGTCATACAAAGGAGGCGCCGTGTCGCGAGCGATGGATTAAGTTACAATGCGATAACAGGTGGCTATTCTCTTGCTGTGGGAAATGCACAGTGCGCATATTTTGTATTGACACTGGAATGATAATGAAGTCACTGACCGGGAATGGCTTGCTACAAATCGGTCAAGGTTTTACCATCAAGAGTGACATCTTTTCTATTTTTGGTCACAACAACTACTTGAGCCAAGTTCCAAGTTCAAGAGGACATACCGATCCCATCAGACACTTCCATATTGAATTCCGTCCTAAATACTACTTCAGGCTTCGAGCAATTTACATCCGAAGACCATGGAGACGAGTGGCGTCGCATGAAGGCTCAGATTACAAACCTCAAAGAACAAGAAAGCGCACCACTCAGCGTACATGACATACATCAATATTCAGTTATGTACACAATACTGGGATTGATCATACTAGCGGCATCCATTTACATCATTATACGATGTCGCAGAACCAAGAGAGCACTGAACATGACGGCAAACACTCCCGTAATCTCCATTCCCATGGCGGCAGTCACGAGCGGAGACCAGGAACCTACGACAAGGACGAGACCGCGATCCGTGCGACTGGACATTCCATCACAAGTTTACTGCAGTGATGAAATATTTAAGGAATTCGTTTATATTATTTTACGATTTTATTTTTGTACTTTGAATTGTTATCATATTATTATGTGGCCGGTGAGGAAGGAAAAGGGGAGATCTCCGGCCAGGCAAGGTGTTCTGCCCGGGGAGCGGCCAACGCTCCGAGTGATAGTTCGGAGAAGTTCTATATAATCTGTCTATGATGCGGAATGTTGATAGCGTGATTTAGGCTTCGGTGTATTTCGCTTGTGGCGCGACGACAGCGCCGCTACATCACCCCCTGCTCAGACCGGAGGTCGATAGTGCAGTCTCGTTGTCGACGAATGTGCAAGTGCCAGTGGATTGCCTTGTAGTCTGCGGTGATTCGAGAAGAAGGCAAGTAATCTGCGAGAGTGCCGTGAAGCAGAGGCGAGCAATAAGGCTCAGAACCGTGCTGAACACTGTATAGCGCAGAGAGTAGCTTGAAGGAACAGGAAGCATTATTATTCCAGTGCTGCGATGGACCTTGTGAAGCTAGATGGCTTGCAGGATATGAAGACTGCAGACGATATCTGCTCGGGAGCGAATGGGTGGGGTATTCTATGACGATGATGAAGCTTGAAGTTTCCGAAGGTTGTTGGTTGCGTATTCAGATCACGTCGGTTAGTCACCACTGTGGCCGGTGAGGAAGGAAAAGGGGAGATCTCCCGCCGGGCAAGGTGTTCTGTCCGGGGAGCGGCCAACGCTCCGAGTGATAGTTCGGAGAAGTTCTATATAATCTGTCTATGATTCGGAATGTTGATAGCGTGATTTAGGCTTCGGTGTATTTCGCTTGTGGCGCGACGACAGCGCCGCTACAATTATTATTTTTTTACATTCTTAGTACCTTTGTGTTTATAGTTTTCCCTCTTTTGGGCCGGCAGAATGTACGGGTTACCGCACATATTTTATGTAATTTTATTTTAATGACTCGTTTATTTAGGTCACGCAGAAACAATGCATTTGTTACTTGTGAAATCATGTAACTTCCGTACTTTTGCCTATACATCAATATATAAATCTTTACAATAAATTCAGTGTTAGATCGACTTTCATTGGGTTTGTTTCGTACACTAACTTTCCCTTGCATCCCATCTGCACTCATTCATCTTATATACTGTATACACCTTACAGCAACATTTCGCCAAAAAACTGAGTCAGTATACTTCGTCCCGATATTGAGTACATATGCTTGTGAGCTCTACAGTTTCTTTTGATAACTCTGTTTGTTACACGCACAGAAATCTAAATAATAGGACAATAGAAGTCGTAAAAGCTCGTGACCTTGTCGCCGCACATGTGACTCGTAGGCCACAAGTGCACAAGGAGTATTTGTTTCGGTCACCAGTGTTGTTACGGACGTAAAGACGTAAAAATGATGTTTTGCAGCATATCCAACTGCGGAAATTCTTCCACAATTTGTAAATTTTCAAATAAAGGGATAACATTTCATAAATAAGTACTTAAGTGTTTTAAGTAATGTGTTTAATGAAATATACTTAAATAAAATTATTCAACTCCAGTACTACGATTGTTTCCGAAAATGTAATTGTTTACACATTTCAATATACATTGATTCTTAAGCTAGTTCATGTATAAGAGTACGACAGCTAAAATCAGCGATGGATTTATAGTATGGGCGATAAACAAAATTGTTTCGTACGTAAATTTCCTAAAACACGACCGTAGGAGTCGAGCGCAAGTCAGTTCGTGACACTACCATTTTGTATTGATAATTTATTATGTTTGGCTTACCTAGTTTTACCGAGACGGAAATCAAACGTGGTTATTTAAGGAAATTTTTTTTTGTTGCATAAATACTTTGACTCTTTACATAAATACTTCGACTAGAGAGGTGCGGAAGCTAGCAGCAGCAAAATAACTAAACAAAAAAAAAACAAGGCGAATCAGTATGGTCCAGTTTTGAAATTGCTGCTTTGCATAACAATAAATTTGATAAGGACCGTGTAAATAAGAAATACCTACTTTGAATAAAATATTCGCTTTCGCAAAGCAGGACAGAATTTCCAGGGAGTAAAACAACTCTAAGGCAAATAATGGTGTAATCACTGGGCTATAAATTCGAAAAATGCCCCAGTAATAAGTTAGCACTTATACAAAGGCCTAAAAATATATATCGCTGGATCGTTGGACAATCACTCATACTGGAGGTGAAAATAATTACATAGGCGCTACGTATAATTTAAAAAAAGGTGGATATTATTACGAATTGAATGGTGCAAATTTTACTGAAGGAATAAATGAATGGTTAATACCCAATCTCCCGAAACACGCATGGACAATGCCCCTTACCACGGCATGGAAGGGTTTAAAGCCCCCAAATATGAACTCTAAAAAAGCAGAAATGCAGTCATGAACTCTACAACTTAATAGAAAGCACAAATCGCCAAAAATTATGTCATAGACAGTATTTTTAACTCCCATGGTTTCGAAGTTTTGAGGCTGCCACCCTATAATTGCGATTTATTTCCAATCTGGCACTTAATTAAGCGTAGGGTGGTAGACAAAAATTTTGAACAGTTCGTAAGCCAAATTGAGAGCTTAAAACTAGAAGCATTTGCTTCAATTACCAGTGACGATTGGAAGAAAGAAATAAACCACGTCAAACGAATCGAATCGAAAATGAATACCGGCTAAGGGATACATTTCAAGATGATTATAAATTTAGTTTTATTATAAACATATAAACACTGGTAATAAAAGGACTATTCTTCTTTTAACTAACAGTCGGTGAAATATTTCCCTTATAAAAATAGACATGTTCTATTTTTATAAGGGAAAGAAGCAGTAATGATGATGACTATTCAGATAGTGATGAAGAGATAAGTGGAATTGAAGTGTTAGATTCCGACTGAAACCTTTTCTTTCATGGTTTATTTATAAATAAATATTATTTCAAAAATATTTGTTTTTCTCACCCAATACCTTACTGGTTTGAATTGACAGCTATGACGTCACAAAAAATAGCGCTAATTTAATCCTATTCTTATTTAAGTCACATTGTAAACACGTTTTGCACGTGGTAGAGCCAAGCTGCAGCTATATTATAGAACAAATTAATGTACGTAGACCTACCAATCGAAGACCAATTGACAGCTAATCAAACTATTCGAGTGCAGTGAGCGATAATTTGAACAACGAATTGCGCACTGAGGCCCTATACCATGGCCTGCGAACTCACCGGAACCTTCACCATTAGAATTTTATCTGTGGGGTGGAATAAGCAGTCGTGTTTACGTCAAAGAAGCCCAAAGTTATGAAGATCGCCACAGTAAAACTACAGGTAGTAAGTGTAAAAATTAATTTTTAAATATTGATATACTTAGGGAGTGACAAGGGCGATACGTCAATTAGACAAGCTGGTAAATTGCACACTGGTTTAATGAGTTCGGTGGGGGACGCAGCGCTTACACACATAGATAGAGTAACACAACAATAATTTGAGAAAATGTGCACGTCTATGCATAGAAATCCTTTTTAGGTACCATTAGTTATTAGGATCAGACGTGAATCGCACACACAGAAGCGCGCGTACGCGTAGTTATTGCCCATAACTTTCAATTTCGCATAATTTCAAGTAAAAGTAGAGGCCTTATTCTTTATTATTTAATTTAATATAATATTTTAGAAATTACCTAGATAAGTTTCCCAAACAGGATCATTGGATGCAGAGTTGTTAGGGATCAGTTGCAATCGTGACAGAGTTCCATAATGGGTGTTACACGCCTTATTTACGACCTGAAAAAATATAACTTTAATCATTAGTAGTTGTGGGGCCACCAACCACTAGGGGTAATGACGTAAATACCTAAGTGGCATAAAATCGTGTTAGACATGTTATAGGGATAATGATGATGATTTCCTAGGTGGTAAAGATGTTTTTTTACTATGTAGGATATAGACATAGGGTAGACACACTTTTAGCTTTTTGACGCCATATTGTACTGGCCGTATTTTAAACTTTAACATTCAATCGCCTACAACTGCGTATGTTACCCTCGCGATTGTAGGTAATTATTTCACGCAGGTAGCAAGAGCGACAGAGAGCTGGTATGGCGTCGAGTTATGACGTCATTTGCATTGGCCAGTATACTGGGTTCTATTTCGGAACACAGGCAATATTTTACTTCGCATTGGGCACCAACTTCAAGTGTATTGACAAATTAAATAAAAAATAATAATTTAATGTCGGTTTGTCAAGTGCTTTGCAGCACCATTGGTCGCATGGAGACTGATGTGTTTATGCTCGTAACCGTGCTGGATCGTCGCGAAATACTGTCATGAAACTTCAAGTATAACTTTTTCTTTTAATAGCTGCAGAACTATTCGTTGAGGATTAGAATAAATCAAACTTCAAGTTTAATTCATTCAATCTTAACTTGAACGAATAGTACTCCAGCTATAGATAGTGCCATCCACGAAGACGAGCCCCACTATTTTTCCTAATTGTTTACAGCATAAGTGTGCAAGCTTCCGCTAATGTTTGAGTATTATCGGTACACACTGACTGCCTATGAGTGCACGCGCACACTACAATGAACCAATCAGGCAAGAGCATTACAGAGATTATTAGTTACTATACGATAATATTACCATTTTTTTAATAGGGGGCAATTATAAACATAAATAAATAAAACGATAGTTCCATCTCTATATATATATATATATATATATATATATATATATATATATATATATATATATATATATATATTTTTTTTATATATATATATATATAAATATATTAAACTATAAAATTGTTGAAAACGAAACAAAATTACGAAAAATAACTGGCTACGAGAAAAAGAAAATGTGCGCGCGTACTGCTCTCTCTTGCTTATATCCCTCACTCACACATTTTGTAACGCTTTCGTCACTCTCCCCAAGTCAAGCGTAAAGAAGTTTTAGTTCAAAAACGTGAAGAAGTTTTATTGAATTTTATTGAGAAATGACAATATTTCAAATCTTCACTCATTCGTTTCAGAAATGTCAGATACGGAGTCTGACGTATCAGCGACATTTATAATAAAACTGAAATCAAAATCACATGTACGAGGGTGACACTGAAAGTTCTTAGAAAATCAAAAACTGAACAAACTAGCTAGTTATTAGTTTTATTATATCTTTTCAAAATAGTGTCCATTTACATCAAAACATCGCTGCATCCGATGGAACAACTGAGAAAAGCACTTTGCCTAATCATCCTTAGGGGTCTCTTCGACAGCATTTTAAAACGCAACCAACTCGACGTCCATAGAACGTTTTCCTCGAAGTTTTTCTTTTATTTTCAGAAATAAATAAAAATCGCAAGTTGCGAGGTCGGGGCTATAGTCGGGTGACCTAGTAATTCCACGTCTGACGTCGCCAAGTAGTCGATTGTTTGCTTGGCGGTGTGCGACAAGGCATTGTCGTGGTGAAGGAGAATCCTAATGCCAGGTCGTTTCTCCCGAACTTTTTTCAAGACAAGTGGCAAACAATCGTTAGTGTACTACACTGCAATAACTGTTTTTCAATCCTCTAAAAAATTATTGCGTATTGACCTGTCCTTCCGAAGAACGAGGCCACCATCTTTTTTCCCACGCTTCGACCACTCTTTACTTTAGTTGCCAACTCCTCGGAAGGAAACACCCACACAGCAGACTGTCTCTTAGTTTCAGAATCATAACAATAAATCCAGCTTTCGTCGTAATTATGTCGTACACAACATTACAACATTTGTGTCACCTCCGTTAAATCTTTGAACCACTTCACGACACCAATCAACACGACGGAGTTTTCGGGCCTTGGTCAAATAATGAGGTATCCACCGGGCACAAACCTTCCTAACCATAGAATACTATAATACACAATAGAATGGCTGTCAACCTTTTTTTTTTGTACGAGATTACGTGTCGCCGGGAGCAAATATACAAGCAATTACGTAGTATTATCACTACTAACAACCCGATCCGCTGTGTTGACAGACAGATTTTAATACGTATTTATTTGTAAATAGCGTGCAATTTGGCATTTTTTAAATAATTTGCATGCGAAATTTGGAAACGATTCTAATGTCAAAATACATCTCGTTTTGACAATCGAAGACATAAGTGGATGAAGATGATATATCGCATTTTCAGGTTTTGGTGTTTTTTGCATAGATGAAGGTGATATGTCGTTATAAAACGACGTATTTTAAAAATAGAAAGTTGATAAAGGTGTTATGTTCAGTTTAGTTTGAAAATGGTACTGGATGAGAGGTATGAGCCCATATCACTACCTTCTTGATAAATAAAGGAAAAGTTTTGTTTATTTGTCGTGGAAGAAAGTGAAGTGTACGAACATAACACTTTCTTCCACTCATCGAACGATAGTCTAATGACAAGATATTACTTCTCCGTGAATGAGTAGGTGTTATGTAACATACATAGTACCTTCATTCGTTCACGTCAGTCAATTGTTTTGATTTTCTTTCTGTCAAAATTATCACATTCTCGCGGGCTTTCTAACAGAGTGCGTATTGTAGCGTGTGTTGTGACAAAAGTATTATTTATAATAGTGAATTTACGTTGGCAAAAAGGAAAAGCAATGGCAGGAGGCAAAGCAAGGGCTATAATAGCGGATCGCGGAAGTGAAGTTGGAAGCGCACGTTGTCACAAGTTGTCAAAAACAAAGATCATTTATTGATCTGGTCGGATTCATGTGCCGAATAGACCAAAAACTTTAACATGATTGCACTGTATCAATACCTTATATTAAAAGGATATTTTAAAGTAATAGACCACAAATTCCCTGAGGTTGGCCATTCTTATTAAGACTCGGATTGTGACTTCGGTAGGATAGAAAAAAAAACATAAACATAAACACTCACGCCTGTCACCCAGAGGGGTAGGCAGACAGTGGCGAAGCTTCCATTAAAGCCGAAAAGCCGGGCTTGCCTTATTAAACCTGAATTAATCAATAATATCAATCAATAATTTCAACTAATAAAATAACTCGTAAAATGTTTCAAGCTATTTCAAATTTCCCGCGCACTCCACTGTTCGACACATTTCGACCGATGACCTCGTAGGTATTGCCTTAGCGATACTGCTGCTGTCATAAAAATGAGTTTTAATGGAGCTAATAGTTGTCTCCCTCGCTCGCGTGGGCTTTTTACGGGTCTTTCGAGAAGACGATCGCTCTCTTACTAACCTATGGCAAAATATTCTATAATGAAATATAACTACGATTGTATATATAGCAATTAGTATAGAGATTTAAAGCCAGGCTTTTGGGAATAAATTTGTTAAAAGCGGAGGCGCGCGCGGGCAATACGTTTGCAAGTTCATTTCATGTTTCAATGTTTATTTACTCTGTGTTATTACTCTTAAGCGATTTAATATTACGAGTTCAAAATTTATGCTTTTTTAAAGATTTTTAATGAAAATGGAGGATAATAGTGTTCCTTGTGATGAATTGAAGTGTGTTAAAGTGCAAATCGGATAGGAAATCTTTAAACTTTTTTGTTGAGATAATACACAAGATTAAGAGTTTATTTCAGACTTACCTATCAATTATCGCAATTAAAAAACAGTTATTGGTACAATTAAAACGTTCACCAACATTTTACGTGGACGTAATTAAATCTTTCCATAAGAAAGCGAGACGATTCCACTTATGTTATCTTATCTCTTATCCATTAGAATGTAAATAATTTGTTGTTTTTTTTTTAATTTTTTACATAGTTTGTTTGTACTTTGTTCGTGTTTTACTTTTGTTCATGTATTGTATTGGATGTAAATATTTTTTTTCTTTCGCTTAAACAAACCCAAACGGCTTTCTTCGAAGCCACCGAAGCTATGCAATTGCTGATATGTAATACAATCTATCTAGCAGTGGTATGCCTTCTGTGTGCTTTGTTAAACACGTCCTTGACAGCACTGAATATGAAACTGAAGCGTGGAGACAGAACAAGATTGGTGTATTTTTATAAAACTGCTAAAAACAACAATCTATATTTTTATCAATTTATATCTTGGGCTTGCCCTAGCTTGGAGCTCTAGCTTCGCCACTGTAGGCAGAGACTACAGACTTCCATTTGGCACGATCCTGACACACCTCTCTCGCCTCCTCCACATTCATATACCTACGCATACATGCTCGTTGGTTAAGGGTATTCCTAATTTGGACCGTTTTCAATATATCGCCAATTTGGTCGATAAACTTTCGCCTAGAACGTCCCTTTCCGACTCTTCCGTTCATTTCTACAACATAAATTTTCTTTGTCACTCTTTCCTCATTCATTCTTTCCACATGACCAAACCACCGAAACATTCCTTTCTTAATCCTGGTCACAACATCATGTTCCAAACCACACTTTTCTCTTATCACACAATTTCCCACCCTGTCATTCAGATTCAGCCCTAACATACTCCTTAACGACCGCATTTCTACTGCGTTTATTCTACTCTCCTGCTTCTTCTGCCACATCCAACTTTCACTACCATACGTTAAAGTAGGGACCACAGCATTGTGAATTGCCATATGTAAACATATTCCTTCATTTTGTAAGCCATACATTTTGACATATTCTGACTCTCCACAATAGAGTGTAGGGCCCCATTTACTCTATTTCCTGCATTCACTCGTCGTTATATATCCATATCATATCTCCCATCCGTGCTAAATACGCATACCAAATATACAAACTCATCTACTTGCTCGATCAAATGATAGAAACGATAGAAAAAGTCCTTAGGAAACACGATACATTTTATGTTCTTGAACTATACAGGAATATTATATGTAAAGCTTCCCGAAATAATACTATAATAAATATATAATATTTCAGAAAAAGTGAGTTACAGGAAAAACTTAATTTGTTTAACAGAAAAATGATGTAAACAATGACAAAGTAAGTTTTAGGGACGGTATTAAACGGATACGCGTAGATGAATATGGTTCCTACCTATATAAAGAAACATACGATGAAATGACACCCTTCAAAAAGTTGGATATTTTAAAAAGAAGATCTCAGTTGCGCAATTCTCGTTCGATTCGTATCAGTGGCAAAAAATAGAAAAATCCGTGATCAACTTAAGTACGTAAAGCCAAAATGTCGGTACTTCTATGAGTCGATTTTAATTGAAAAATAGTATTATTTTGATGTGTTTTATTTTATTGTCAAGACTGATCTCTGTTTTATTAGCTTACGTTTTAATTTATAATGTTTTAAGGAATATTTAAGTAATGTTTACCTTTTTGTAATACTTTAAGAACATAATGTTACTTAACACCTAATTTGAAATAGCTAAAATGCCAAAATGTTTTGAAAATATTAGTGAAAGAAAGATTTATGTTCAGTTTTTTTCGAAATTATATACCATAAAGTATTAAAAGTGTTTAATTGCTCACGTACCTTAATTTTTTAAGTTTGTTTACCCAACCTCGCATTATAGTTTAAAACAAAAACCAATTTTCTAACAACTTATCTCAAAAAACAAAAGTGAAACTTCAATCTTGATAATGATGATGATTTCCTAGGTGGTAAAGATGTTTTTTTACTATGTAGGATATAGACATAGGGTAGACACACTTTTAGCTTTTTGACGCCATATTGTACTGGCCGTATTTTAAACTTTAACATTCAATCGCCTACAACTGCGTATGTTACCCTCGCGATTGTAGGTAATTATTTCACGCAGGTAGCAAGAGCGACAGAGAGCTGGTATGGCGTCGAGTTATGACGTCATTTGCATTGGCCAGTATACTGGGTTCTATTTCGGAACACAGGCAATATTTTACTTCGCATTGGGCACCAACTTCAAGTGTATTGACAAATTAAATAAAAAATAATAATTTAATGTCGGTTTGTCAAGTGCTTTGCAGCACCATTGGTCGCATGGAGACTGATGTGTTTATGCTCGTAACCGTGCTGGATCGTCGCGAAATACTGTCATGAAACTTCAAGTATAACTTTTTCTTTTAATAGCTGCAGAACTATTCGTTCAGGATTAGAATAAATCAAACTTCAAGTTTAATTCATTCAATCTTAACTTGAACGAATAGTACTCCAGCTATAGATAGTGCCATCCACGAAGACGAGCCCCACTATTTTTCCTAATTGTTTACAGCATAAGTGTGCAAGCTTCCGCTAATGTTTGAGTATTATCGGTACACACTGACTGCCTATGAGTGCACGCGCACACTACAATGAACCAATCAGGCAAGAGCATTACAGAGATTATTAGTTACTATACGATAATATTACCATTTTTTTAATAGGGGGCAATTATAAACATAAATAAATAAAACGATAGTTCCATCTGTATATATATATATATATATATATATATATATATATATATATATATATATATATATATATATATTACATATGACACACCTCTCTCGCCTCCTCCACATTCATATACCTACTCATACATACTCGTTGGTTAAGGGTATTCCTAATTTGGACCGTTTTCAATATATCGCCAATTTGGTCGATAAACTTTCGCCTAGAACGTCCCTTTCCGACTCTTCCGTTCATTTCTACAACATAAATTTTCTTTGTCACTCTTTCCTCATTCATTCTTTCCACATGACCAAACCACCGAAACATTCCTTTCTTAATCCTGGTCACAACATCATGTTGCAAACCACACTTTTCTCTTATCACACAATTTCCCACCCTGTCATTCAGATTCAGCCCTAACATACTCCTTAACGACCGCATTTCTACTGCGTTTATTCTACTCTCCTGCTTCTTCTGCCACATCCAACTTTCACTACCATACGTTAAAGTAGGGACCACAGCATTGTGAATTGCCATATGTAAACATATTCCTTCATTTTGTAAGCCATACATTTTGACATATTCTGACTCTTCACAATAGAGTGTAGGGCCCCATTTACTCTATTTCCTGCATTCACTCGTCGTTATATATCCATATCATATCTCCCATCCGTGCTAAATACGCATACCAAATATACAAACTCATCTACTTGCTCGATCACCTGATAGAAACGATGGAAAAAGTCCTTAGGAAACAAGATACAGTTTATGTTCTTGAACAATACAGGAATATTATATGTAAAGCTACCCGAAATAATACTATAATAAATATATAATATTTCAGAAAAAGTGAGTTACAGGAAAAACTTCATTTGTTTAACAGAAAAAAGATGTAAACAATGACAAAGTAAGTTTTAGGGATGGTATTAAATGGATACGCGTAGATGAATATGGTTCCACCTATATAAAGAAACATACGATGAAATGACACCCTTCAAAAAGTTGGACATTTTAAAAAGAAGATCTCAGTTGCGCAATTCTCGTTCGATTCGTATCAGTGGCAAAAAATAGAAAAATCCGTGATCAACTTAAGTACGTAAAGCCAAAATGTCGGTACTTCTATGAGTCGATTTTAATTGAAAAATAGTATTATTTTGATCTGTTTTATTTTATTGTCAAGACTGATCTCTGTTTTATTAGCTTACGTTTTAATTTATAATGTTTTAAGGAATATTTAAGTAATGTTTACCTTTTTGTAATACCTTAACTACATAATGTTACTTAACACCTAATTTGAAATAGCTAAAATGCCAAAATGTTTTGAAAATATTAGTGAAAGAAAGAGTTATGTTCAGTTTTTTTCGAAATTATATACCATAAAGTATTAAAAGTGTTTAATTGCTCACGTACCCTAATTTTTTAAGTTTGTTTACCCAACCTCGCATTATAGTTTAAAACAAAAACCAATTTTCTAACAACTTATCTCAAAAAACAAAAGTGAAACTTCAATCTTGATTTACTCAAAATTAGTAGAATGCGAGTTATCACCTTCATCCACTTACGTCTTCAATTATACGTGTGAATTGACGTGTTAGTGACATTTTAGTGGCTGCACGGGCCCCGCCCACTCCCCCGTTCTATTATGTATGTAATTATAGTATTCTACGTTCCTAACTGCTAAATGTTCATGGAGGATTTTGTGCACTTGACTCATAACGACGCCTAAGCTTGTCCGAAATTTCTGATAAGTCACTTTTTTGTCAGTCTCTATCATACGCCGCACAACACTGAAGTTATCTTCAGTCGTCATTGTAGAAGGCCGTAAACTCACTAAACCAGTTGTAAACAGTGGCACGACATGGGGCTTCACCGTGAAAAGCCAATCGAAGTCTATCATAACTTTCTAGTTAGGTGGCTTAAATGACATCGAGTCATAAAAAATCATTGTACGAAAATTTTCTCGCGTTAAATTTACAAGTGACCAGTTCTAAAAACTTTCAGTGTCGCCCTCGTACTTTATAATTAATACCAATTTGAATTTATCTCATGCCACCTGCATTAATTTTAAAATCGATTTATGATAGAAAAGCGCCTACACTTGACACGGCAGTTCAATACGTACACTGGAATTAAGATGGTTATAATAATCAAGTCTATTGAGAAATAAGATTGTTCAAAAGATGGCGAGCTTAGTAAAATTAAAATAAAGTAGTCGTAGTGAAGTAAAATATAGTTTGTTAAGGACTATCATATACAGCTGTGAGTGTGTAAATAAGGAATGAATAAAGTGATTAAACATTTAATTAAGTTGTAATGGTTTTATCGGATAAAAGCTCACATTTGTCACTCCCATATTAAAATGTAAGAGCAGTGTGACACGATACCTGCAGGCGCAGTGGTCCCGCCGCACGCACCACGGGCCCAGCGGCGCCCAGCACCGGCGCTGGCAGCGCTGGCCGACCTGCGCCTACGCCGCTCGCCGGCCCGCCGCCATCAGAGCCCGCGCCCGCGCCCGCGCCTACCACCGCGTGCGCCTGCACCTCTTCGGCCCGCGGACCCGGCAGCGCACCGCCACCTCGCTTCCGAAGTCGCTGATCCAAAGCGCTGCCACAAAACAACCAATAAACTTATGTAGAACATTTTAGCGGTCTTCGTAAAAGGATGGCTATTTTGTTTTGTATGTATGTTACACGATACCTTAGAAAATTGTAAGCTGATTTTGATGATTCTTTATATTAAACAGACTATACCTCAAGGATTAAAAGGGAATACATTTAAATAAGAAAAAAAACATGAAATAAAGTTTTTAATAACTTATTTTTAGTAAACCAATTTAATATACTGTATGACTGATATCACCGTCCGGAAAAATAGGGTTTAACAGATAAATGTATTAAAAACCTCTGTCACTGATATTTTACAAAAAATAAAAACAAAAAATTGAATTAAGCAAGTAAATCACTTGAAATCTATCGAAATTCAAATCATATCCACCCTACTTTACGAACGACAATAAAACAAGTAGGAATCTTTGTCAATGTCCTTTCGCAAGCTCAAGGACAAAGCCGTACGCGCCTTCATTTCTCTTTTCATTTACCTGTTGTTTGCCAAGTCGTGACATCGCGTCGTCGTCGTATTGTTTATGTTTCCGCGCGTGTATCGTAAACATGTACTACTACTCTAATGTCGAGTATCTAACTTTAACGGAGCCAATTCGGTGATAGGTGGATAGGTCACAGTTGACTTGTGAACTGGCCGGCAAAATCACTAGGCCTAACACCTCTATACTTATATATGTGGGCCGAACTAAAACGATTAGAGTACACAGAAGAAGCACAAGGTGTTAGTGATTTAAAGGAGAGTATAATAGACGTATTTAATGTCGTCGTCATCGAAGTTTAACAAACAACTTACAAAGACGTGCTGGTTTGTGTTTAGAACGAAACTGTAGACATTTTGAACAATTACTGGGATATCGCTAAAAAGGTAATTTTTTATTTGTAAATTACAATAATGTAGTGTAATTTTGTAAATATTAATCAATGAGATTTATATATTTAAATACGCCAAGATGTTGCAGTATAAGGTAGGCATAAAATTAGAATTATTAACAACGCCAAAAAAAACGCCATGATGTTGCAGTATAAGGTAGGCATAAAATATTATTAGAAACTATTTATCAACTCATTATATAATGCAAGATAAAATGTAACGTACAATCCTACTCAACTATAGCATATTAGACGGTCCTAAGCCCGTAAAAGTGTGAACGACAGATCGATATCACAATAATAATAATCTGAAACCAGTGGCGAATCCTCCATAGAAGCCCAGAAGCTGGGCTTGCTCTATCAAACTGCTCATTCAATAATATCAACGAATAAAATAACTCGTAAAGTGTTTCAAACTATTTAAAATTTCCTGCGCGCTCCTATTTTCTAGACAGGGCATGACCTCGTAGCATATAATATGTAACGTCAATACTTGGCAGTTTGCTTTCAATTCGAAATACACTGGACTGCCAAAGTTAATGAAAGCAAGGAGTTGATTTTGTCATCTCTCTCGCACGCGTTGGCTTTTTACCGGGCTTTCGAGAAGACGATCGCTCCCTTTCTAACCTGTGACAAAATGTTCTACCTGTATGCTTGCAAGGACACGTTATTTGATACTCCTTTTGGCTCGCGACCTAAAATGGCGGGAATTGCAAATTTTTTGCTAACTTGAAAATTTTACTATATTTTCACTTTGAGACAATATTTATGGATAAAACTTACAGGAATTCTTGTTGAATGTATAAACTATCGAATAAAATTATTTTTAGTTGCTAGAAATTGTAATAAAATTCATAAATTACCCTTTATAGCGTAGTAGGAGTAGATATTTCACTTTCAGTCTAAAATTACTACTAATTTGAATTCTACACGTTTGTTTTTCGAGAAATCTATATGAAAATGTTTGGAAATATGTATATTTTTATGTTTTATATGTTTCTATTCGTTACTCATACCAAAATATAAAAAAAAAATAATTTTTATCTGTATGAAATTTCGAACAATAGTAAAGTTAAAGTAAAGTTACAGCCTATATACGTCCCACTGCTGGGCACAGGCCTCATATTTCTGAGAGGGTTTAGGGCAAGGAAGTGGCCGCCGCGCTGCCCCAATGCGTGTTGGCGAACTTCACATGTCTTCGAAATATTTTTTTTCTTATTCCTCAGACATGCAGGTTTCCTCACGATGTTTTCCTTCACCGACGAGCACGTGGTAAATCAGCACTTAAAATTGCAATTAACAATTTAATTGGTGCCGGCGGGGATCGAACCCGGGTTACTCGCGTTCTGTTATATTTACAGCGAGCGTTATCCATCTGAGCTACCACGGCTCTCTTACAAACAATATTTCAAATATATTTTTGTGTGAATTTGAAATGAATACAACGTCAAGTTATTTGAAATATGTTATAAAACTATTTTTTAGTTACATTTTACACTAAAAATAAATGAGAATTAGAAAAATAACACATTTTTGACCCAGCCGCTAAAATGGGCCTTCTCGATTTCGAAGTACTTTTGGCACTTACTTTTCACTTTTTATGCCACAAATTATATACCTACGTGTTTGTGTATTACAAGGAATACAGAAAAGTATAAAACTCACCTTTTTATTCCAAAAACACACAGCAAAACGAAGAAATCACTAAGCACTAGCTACACACTACCACGCACACTACTGGTGTAAAGACCCGTTACGTCAGAATGAGTTTTTATGTTTATTTCTTATGTGACATTGACAGATTATGGTACCGAATTAAAGAGTATGTCTTTGTCTATGTCTGTATTATATATTTCAGTATAACTTTGTTATAATTTTTAATGACAAACCTTTTTTTGTCGGGTTCGCCCTCATAAATTCTTTGTAGGCGTATGTGTACCATTGTCGAGCGGGCGTCGCGCGGTTGTGTTAGTCACATGTGTACCCCTATCGAGCGTACGGGCTAATGAAATATAACTACGAAATGTTTATATAGCAATTACTATAGAACCAAAAGCTGGGCTTGGCCCTGAAGTTGTTTAGGAGTGCGGTAGCGATTGCGGGCGATTCGTTTGCAAGTTCACTTCACATTTCAATGTTTATGTTTGTTTTTGTTGTGTTTGTTAAAAATTTATGCTTTACAAAGGTTTTTGTGAATGTGAAATGGGAGGATAATAGTGTTCCTTGTGATGAAATAGTGTTCCTTGTGATGAAATAGTGTTCGTGTGTTAAAGTGCTAATCGACGAGGAAAAGGTAAAATCTTTAAAAATAAAATTTTAATTCAATAAACATTCCTTCATACTCTAGGCGTATTTAAAGGTTTAACTCAATACTTATATTACCATACGAGTTATAAATATCATTTTGAACTGCTAAAATATGAGATACTTAGGTATAAGTTTAATTTTATAGCAAATAATTGTTACAATCTTTTTTTTATGTGAATCCCAAATTTTAATGTAATAAATTAAATGAAAACATGTATTGAGGTTTTTAAAGAATATTTCCTTTAGTCTTTCAGTATATAAAATTTTAATAGCGCCATCTACTTAATTCTATAGGTGAAGTCATTTTATTGAACGTAAAGATTACGCTAGATGGCACAAACTCGCTAACGGCTAATTTAATAATCTAATATTTGTATTACTTTAAGAGTTAGAAATATCACTTTGTACGGTTTATTAAAATTGAAAATAAATAATTATATAATAAATAGTCATTATTTTATGGTAAAAAAATTTGCTAAGCTTTATCTTCTCATTATACCATATCTAATTCCTGTCGTAATCTGTTCTTCTAAGCATATAACTTAAACAAAATAGTTTCGATGTTTCACATCTGCCAGGCGTCCCTTTTTTTAATTTTGTACATAGTTTGTTTATACTTTGTTCATGTACAATACAATGTTTGTAAATATCTTTTTCTTTCGCTCAAGCAAACCCAAACGGCTCTTTTCAAAGCCACCGAAGGTATGCAATTGCATATGTCATACAATCTATCTAATGGTAGTATGCCTTCAAACACGTCCTTGATAGCACTGAATATGAAACTAAAGAGTGGAGACAGATCAAGATTGGTGTTTATTTTTATAAAACTGCTAAAAACAACAAAACCATATCTTGAGCTTGCCCTAGTTTGGAGCCCTAGCTTCGCCACTGTCTGAAACGAAAGGTAATTCACCTACTTACTTAACTTATTCTGTTTCACAATTTTTTGCTATTTATAAACATGCGACACGCGACGTTATTATTAAAGAAAGAGTGGAAATGAGAAGTGCTGCTGTTTTAATCTTTTATCGACCAATATTTTACTACTAACCAGTATATGTTGATCTTGCATTAGTGGGGAGTAATTAGTACTGGGACATTGACATTATACGCGAAAAAATCACCAACAACCAACGGCTTTACGTGCTTCCGAGGCTACTGAGAATTTCTTAACGGAAAAACTCAATAAATTGATTTTTTGTCCCGACCCGGGTTTCAAACCCAGGACCTCGTGATCAGCTATCACACTAATACAACAACTAGACCAACGAAGCAGTCAAAATCAAGAATAAATATCAAAAGTGCCTAAATACTTATAAGAGAAAAATAGTTTTGGTAAAGTAAGTAAGGCGCAGTCAGCTGCTTCTAAAAATGTTAGCTGTAACGATGTGTCGGCCGCTCCCCTCCCACTCAGCCGCCTGGCACCTACATAACTAAAGATATGTAAGCGTCTTGCTCGCTTTTATAATGTGGCGGCGCTGTCGTCGCGCCACAAGCGAAACACACCGAAGCCTAAATCACGCTTTCAACATTCCGAATCATAAACAGTATATATAGAACATCTCCGAACTATCACATGGAGTGTTGGCCGCTCCCCGGGCAGAACACCTTGCCCGGCGGAAGATCTCCCCTTTTTCTCACCACGACTAAAGTGGTGACTACCCGACGTGATCTGAACACACAACCAACAACCTTCGGAAACTTCAAGCTTCATCATCGTCATAAAATACCCCACCCATTCGCTCCCGAGCAGATATCGTCTGCAGTCTACATATCCTGCAAGCCAGCTAGCTTCACAAGGTCCATCGCAGCACTGGAATAATTATGCTTCCTGTTCCTTCAAGCTACTCTCTGCGCTATACAGTGTTCAGCACGGCTCTGAGCCTTACTGCTCGCCTCTGCTTCACGGCACTCTCGCAGATTACTTGCCTTCTTCTCGACTCACCGCAGACTACAAGGCAATCTCCTGGCACTTGCACATTCGTCGGCAACGAGGCTGCACTATCGACCTCCGGTCTGAGCAGGAGGGTGATGTGGCGGCGCTGTCGTCGCGGCATAAGCGAAACACACCGAAGCCTAAATCACGCTATCAACATTCCGAATCATAAACAGTATATATAGAACATATCCGGAGGATCCATCTCATCACATGGAGTGTTGGCCGCTCCCCGGGCAGAACACCTTGCCCGGCGGGAGATCTCCCCTTTTCCTTTCATCGGCCACAATAACTTTCATTCACTAGCGATCGTAGCCTATTTTTAGTTTTACGCAAACGCCGTAGGATGCATTGTTTTTATGTATTTTTTTGGATATTCGCAAATTTTGGCTTTCAATCCGCTTACACAAAACTCCATATTATTTTCCAGACGGTAAAAATACAGTATAGGTACAAGCAAGTATTACAAAATTGCTTTTTGTATGTTACATTCCTTTTACATAACAACGCCCATTTAAAGTTTTTAAAACCGATATTATGTTAAATGTATTTTATTCTCTCAATATTTTAAAGTCGATTATTACTTTTTTTTAAAGTTTAGACCGTTATTCAGGTATAGTGGCTTGATTTTATTTTGTCATTATGAACGAACGACTAACTAGTTTATAACCCTAAGTTTTGTTTGAATTATTTTTGCGTTACAATTGTCCACCGACATGTTTGTAATTTGTATACATGGTAAAAATACACACTTTCTGTAAAAATTTAACGATCAAAAAATTTAGTCTAATAACCTTTTTTCTTTTTGATGTCGCTTAGAAATTAATACACATTTCTTGCGTACTACTCGCTAATTCATATAACTCGAAAAGCTATTGCAAAATTATAATATAAATTGATACCAGTACACGTAGAATTATCATTTTTAATGTATTTGCCACCAACTAAACCAATAATGAACTATACATGAAAACTATACTGTGGAAATTTTACACTTAACCAAACTTAACTCTCTTAATAAAGATATTATTAAATTAAAACTTTTGTAAAAAGCTAATACAAATAAAACCCATAAAGAAAAAATAAGGTTTATTCTTACTTGTCGTTGGTCTTACTGCTCTGAGATATGGCATGGTTGCTGACATTGGGATGTATAACGATATCATCTCGCCGCTCCACTCGTATGCGAGATTTGCTCTGTGATGATGTGCTGAAGCAGTTTTCTGAAGCCCCAGGCTGAGATCCTAACGACTCGCTGTTAAATATATATCAGTTTTATTAAAATTGGATAAGATATTCATTAAGCTGACTGGAAAGTTAGTAAATTCTTTGTGCCTTCAATTAAGGATAAGAGCTTAACAACATTCTTAATCGAGAATAGATGAAGGCGTATATAGACCAAAACCATAGCATCCACTTTCCAAGTGAACTATGGGTTTGTTTTATTATCATCCACTCTTTTTATTATATATTTTGTTTAACATTCACTATAGAAAAAAATGACCGATGGTATAAGTTCTCCAAAAGCAACAGAAGTAATTCATGTAATTAAAATATTCAGATGACTCGACAGTGCTTGGTGCAATTCTATGGTGTACCTCCACACACCTATGTTCAACAGTGATCTAGTGAAGGGCTGTAATGATGATGAGAGTACCAGAAAGACATAAGGTAGGAGGAGAAGCATGACTAACTTTGCGTCCGCATGAGTGAGCGGTATGAAGACGGGCGTAATTCTTCGCTTGCCATCGGACGTTCGTGTCTCAATCTGCCTGTCAATGGGACGTACTGGGGTGCTTATTAGGGCTCCGCTCGGGGTGACACTGATACCGCTACATACTGGAGGTGTTGTCGCTGGAACGCTCTGTGGAATAATAAAGCAGATCAGTGGCATAATCATTGTCTTTATCTAATCTGAGATACGAAATAAATCTGATTGTCAAGGGCTAAAGACCCATCCTATAAAAAAATGGAACTAATAATGAGTTTAACAGAGAGTTCATGAATTGGGCATAAAATATAAACTCACTTGTGACTTTTCGCTTTTGGGTGTAGTTTCTTCCTTGGCGGCTTCTTTCTTGGCCTCCTGCTTTTCCCTTGCCAAAAGAATTTCCGGACACTCGACGAGCAAGTTAGATGTCAAATCACCACCAGACTCATTTACTAAACATTTCCCATATATCTTCTCGTAGAACGCATTCTAAAAACAGAATTTGAAAGTAAAGTAACATTCTATGTACTCCCTGCTACATGTTACATACACTGCTGGAATGGGCCTCTCATTTCCGAAGGAGATGGAGTAGTTAATCTGCAGCGCTGCTCAAGTACGTATCGGCGACTTTAGGACGTCCTCGAAATATTTTCATTTTAGTTTTCTTACGATGTTTTCCTCCCCTATGTCCTATATTGTAGAGTATACAGTAAATAAATATTTAAAATTGCAATTAACTATTTTGGTGCAAGTGGGCATTGTACCAGAGTGGTTTGCGTACTCTGAAATGCGATCAGCTTAGCCTTTTAAATAGTATTTATCTGCTAGAACATCATATAATTTAAATATAATTGGTACAACATGTCGGAGTCGGCATACAAATATCAATATTATTAAAAATAATAAAATCACATTTCACTGAGCTACTATGGCTCTATATACACTTATTATCTTTAAATATTAACTTTATTTTCTTTTATTTATTTTTAAAAAAATTACCTTCACACTAGAATTTCCCTAGAGCAGTGATGCACAGACTTATTAAGACTAGGGGCCACTCGGGCACATTATGAACTGATGGCGGGCCGCCAGGAGTATAGGTAATTATGAACTGATGGCGGGCCGCCAGAAGTAGAGGTAATTATGAACTGATGGCGGGCCGCCAGAAGTGTAGGTAACTAAAGACAATAAAGAATTGATAATAATGTATTAAAATTGAAAAACGAATTTATTAATTTGAAGCGTGGCACTGCATAGTGCTTACAATCTTTTTTATATTTGGCTCAAATTTACTTGTATTTAGTATTGAAAAGGTTTGTTCACATATATAGGTAGAAAAAATAAGCTGGCACATTTCAGAGCGTTTATGCGCAACTCTTTGTACGTATTTTTATCAATGCAGCGGTAAAAGTTCAGCAAGTCTCCTTCGTTGAATTTGTTGCGTAAATCTTGGTCGTTTTGAATGTCGATAATTTCTAACTGCATCGACTCTGGCGCATTTTCAACTGAAATCGTGAAAAGATTGCTGAATATGTCCAACAGAGGTTTCACTTTTTTAAACTCCGAAAATCTGTCTTGAAAAGATTGAATCAAAATATCTAGCTTTTCTACATAACTGAAATTATCCATTTTCTTATAATTCGGAAAATGATTGTAATTTCCAGAATTCAATTGCGATCTGAAAAGTGTCAGCTTATACTGAAAGGATGATACATGAGCGTAGAGCTGGGATATCAGTTGATTTTTGCCTGAAGCCGTGTGTTCAAGACATTCAAATGATTTGTAATATCAACTAAAAAAAGCCAAATCACACAACCAATCAGGATTTTTAAGTTCCGGGAGATCCCTTTGCTTTTCCGCCAGAAATATTCCAATTTCTTCTATTCAATTTAGAAATCGTTCCAGTATCAATCCACGACTTAGCCACCTTACTTCTGTATAATACAGTAAATCTCCATATTCGCTTTCGATGTCATCAAGGAATTGTTTGTGTGAGTGATTGAGTATTCGTGATTTTATGAAATTTACAGTCGAAACTACCACTTTCATGACATTTTGAAATTCAATTATTTTTAGAACAGAGGGCTCCTTGGTGTATAATGCAGTGAAACTGCATGAGATCTTCAGCGTTTATGTTTTTTTCTTGCAGATGCTGAAAAAGCAAGCAAGCAAGCTAAGTAACTAGCCCAGAATTGACACCAATCATCGAAGGAGCACCGTCAGTCGCAACTCCCGATAATTTTGATAAGTCAAAATCAGTTTTTGAACACTCATCCAAAAGTACATTGAGTATTATCAACTCCTCTGGTTTGACCTTTCAATGAACACATTCCTAATAACTCTTCTAAGACTTCAAATTCTTGAGTAACACCTCGTATGAATATCAGAAGTTGAGCTGTGGAACTAACATCAGTGGATTCGTCGAGTGCTAATGAAAAAAATTCAATAATCTTAGTTTTTTCATTTAATTATTCCGCAATATTACCTAAAAAAGACATAATTCGTCTTTGGATAGTCATACGATTCAGATGAATTTTCTCAAACTTTTTTGCTGCTTCTGGACACATTTTCTTAGTGGCAATTTCTATGCATTCTTTTACAAAATCCCCATCATTGAAGGGGCGACTTCGCTTTGCTATCATTCGAGAAATTTCATAACTAACTTCTGTAGCTGTTTCTGAATCTTGAATGGGTTTTGTAAACATAGCTTGCTGACCAATAAGCTCCCGTTTTAAAGACAACATTTTTTGCTAGGATGCTGCGTTTCATAGTGCCTTTTTATATTATATTCCTTTGCAATCGCAACAGAATTCTTGCAAATTAAACAAGCGGCTTTGTTATGCGACCATACAAAAAAGTATTTCTCAGTCCAAATTTCTTGAAACTGCCGATTTTCATCTTTAACCTTACGTTTTTTACTAGGTCCTGGCTTGTCCATGTTGCGTTCTAATCCTGGCTAGGATTAACACAGCACCTAAAAACAATTACAGTACCTACTTAAATTACCCATCCTTTTTTAAATTACCAAAAATAATTGATTAAATAGGTAGGGAAACACTTATTAATAACAGAGTTTTACTTACGATTTCACAACACAATTATAAACGGCACTTGACGGGAAATCTACGTTGAATGTGGATCAAAATATATGACACCGGCTAGTCGAGTTAAAATCTACACTAGGGGTATGTTCCGAAATACAACGCAGTGTACTGTCCAATGCAAATGACGTTTCATTCGACACTTTATTGTACTAGCGTGCCGCCGCCATATTGTGTCGGATATCCGGCCATAATAAAACAATTTTTAATTGCGTGTTTGCCGAATGAAGCATGCCAGAATTTGTTTCTATTTATTCAAATACAAAAAATTATAGAATAATTGATGGTATATCCATTAGGAGGATATAATGATTTTTGGAGCACAAAATGACAAAATAATCGCCAACACTTTTCCAAATGGCGCAAAAGTATGACGTCGTATACTGTCCAATGTTTTGGAACGAATCACCAGTATAGCGTCGATTCATGACGTCATTTGCATTGGACAGTACACTGCGTTGTATTTCGGAACATACCCTAGAACTATTGACACTTCACTCAAATTAAAACCGAACTATCGGTCGCTGCGGTTAGCGTGGTTTTTATACCGCGCGTATAGAGTCGAAAACTGTCTGGAGAAATCACGAAACCGACTCTGGAAGCTTCGTGTATTTACCTACGCGAGCAATCGGGAATTCGGGAGTATTGCTATCTCGCTTGCTCTAACAATATAACCCGTGGATAAGCCGCCACCGCGCTGCCGTCGTCGCCTCACCGCCGGCCGCGGCGGTTCCTCAAGAAAACGAATTTAAGGACGCGTTTACAAAATGGGTAGGTATAGAATCGCACTACTACATTGACAAAAGTCACACACACTAGTGTACGCACGGTTGGCTGTGGGAATCGTAGTCAAATGAAATTATTTTGATAATTTGAAAGATTGAATTTGTTTTTCATTTCTTATACCTACCTCAGAAATATACTTCGATACGAAATATGAATACCTGCTCCAAAGACTGCTTGGCACTGGAAGCCCTCTACTGGTAGTGAGATGTTAGCTCTGGACTTTGAACTGATTTTGTCAGTTATAATAAGACCTTACCTACCTGCGGACTTGATGGAGTGACCTGAAGGTGTAATTTGGTGATTACAACAGGAACTCCTAGACTAGTGGAACTGGGTGTGCCGAGTTTGGATTCGTTTTGTTGGTTATGATGAGACCTTACCACCGGACTTGATGGAGTGACCTGAAGGTGTAATTCGGTGATTACAAGTGGAACTCCTAGACTAGTAGAACCAGGTGTGCCGAGTTTGGGTTCGTTTTGTTAGTTATGATGAGACCTTACCACCAGACTTGATGGAGTGACCTGAAGGGGTGATTCAGTAACTACTGCTGGAATTTCTGAACGAGTTGAAATAGGTGTGCTGAATTTGGGCTCCGTTTTGTTAGTTATGACGAGTCCATACCTCCGGACTTGATGGAGTGACCTGAAGGTGTAAATCAGTGATTGCAACTGAAACTCCTAGACTGGTAGAACTAGGTGTGCCGAGTTTGGGTTCGTTTTGTCAGTTATGATGAGACCTTACCACCAGACTTGATGGAGTGACCTGAAGGGGTAATTCAGTAACTACTGCTGGAATTCCTGAACGAGTAGAACTAGGTGTGCCGAATTTGGGCTCCGTTTTGTTAGTTATGACGAGTCCATTCCTCCGGACTTGATGGAGTGACCTGAAGGTGTAAATCGGTGATTGCAACTGGAACTCCTAGACTGGTAGAACTAGGTGTGCCGAGTTTGGGTTCGTTTTGTAGGTTATGATGAGACCTTACCACCGGACTTGATGGAGTGACCTGAAGGTGTAGTTCGGTGATTACAAGTGGAACTCCTAGACTTGTAGGACTAGGTGTGCCGAGTTTGGGTTCGTTTTGTTAGTTATGATGAGACCTTACCACCAGACTTGATGGAGTGACCTGAAGGGGTAATTCAGTAACTACTGCTGGAATTTCTGAACCAGTAGAACTAGGTGTGCCGAATTTTACTCCATCAAGTCCGGTGGTAAGGTCTTATCGTAACTAACAAAACGAAACCAAACTCGTCACACCTAGTTCTACTAGTCTGGGAGTTCCATTTGTAACCACCTGATTACACCTTCAGGTCACTCAATCAAGTTCGGTGGTAAGGTCTCATCGTAACTAACAAAACGAACCCAAACTCGGCACACCTAGTTCTACAAGTCTAGGAGTTCCACTTGTAATTACTGAACTACACCTTCAGGTCACTCCATCAAGTTCGGTGGTAAGGTCTCATCATAACCTACAAAACGAACCCAAACTCGGCACACCTAGTTCTACCAGTCTAGGAGTTCCAGTTGCAATCAGCGATTTACACCTTCAGGTCACTCCATCAAGTCCAGAGGTATGGACTCGTCATAACTAACAAAACGAAGCCCAAATTCGGCACACCTAGTTCTACTCGTTCAGAAATTCCAGCAGTAGTTACTGAATTACCCCTTCAGGTCACTCTATCAAGTCTGGTGGTAAGGTCTCATCATAACTAACAAAACGAACCCAAACTCGGCACACCTAGTCCTACAAGTCTAGGAGTTCCACTTGTAATCACCGAACTACACTTTCAGGTCACTCCATCAAGTCCGGTGGGAAGGTCTCATCATAACCTACAAAACGAACCCAAACTCGGCACACCTAGTTCTACCAGTCTAGGAGTTCCAGTTGCAATCACCGATTTACACCTTCAGGTCACTCCATCAAGTCCGGAGGTATGGACTCGTCATAACTAACAAAACGGAGCCCAAATTCGCCACCCCTAGTTTTACTCTGCAAGAAGTTCAAATAGCGGTCACGAAAGTACACCTTCAGGTCACGCCATCAAGTCCGGAGGTAAGGTCTCATCATAACCAACAAAACGAGCCCAAACTCGGCACACCTAGTTCCGCTCGTCCAGGAGTTGCAGTAGTTTAGGTAAGTTTATATATCCTACTTATTTTTAGCTAAATAAAAAACTGTGAGTATAAAAATAATAATTTTATCACTTGTCAAGTACTTATGTTTCCAATTTGTTTTTTTCTAATATTTTGTGTATGTACAGCGATCTTTTCAGAATGAGCCGCTGCAAACAGGCGATACAGTGTCCACTCACGACGGCGGCCGAGCGCGGACTGTGGCTGTGGTTTCATCGAAATCTTTGTACAATAAATCAAAGCAGGCACCAACAATAAAATAGCCCTTATTGCAATAGATTATGATTCATCCGTATTACCAAAATATGTGAAAAAATGTGCATCAGTTTTTATTTTTTATACGACTATTTATGACATTTTGTTAAAAAATAAACACAGGGTTTTTTTAATTGAATATGTCTGTCATCTTACAGTATTTTTTAAATATGTTGATAATAGACCAAAACATGTACCGAAACACAAGCCGATATCGTTAATTTTGTAGAAAATGGCAACGAAAGTTCGTTTTTACAATATAAAAAACTACTATTTTCAACAAAAGAGTTACAGACGTTTGCAGATGAAGAACCAATCTATACATGGTAGTTTTTACTTATATTTGATTTGGTTTAGTTTTGTCACAAAATCTACCGAAAAACACCCTAATTTTGGTTGATTTGAAAACGCGTCCTTAACCGAGATCAGCAAGAACATTACCGACCGCTGTTACCGACGCATACACGGCGCAAAGATAAGCGCACTTAAGAGCGTGCGAGATTCAAATTACTTTTCGAACATATTTTTTTTGGTTTTATTCTGGAATATAATTCAATATTTTTCGAATGTACCATTTTTGCTGTCGGCGGGCCACCAGTATTCGACCGGCGGGCCGCGGTCTGTGCATCTACGCCCTAGAGGGTTAATTTTAACAATTTAACATGGAAGTTGGCTATGAAAAGATCAATCTGACAATTACCTAAAGTAAATAATTTTATAGTAGCTCAAAATTTATTAAATATTATTTTAGTGCTAATGGGCATTGTGGTTGGCGTACTCTGAAATGCTTAGCTTTTAAGTAGTATTTATCTGCTAGAACATTATATAACTTATATATAATTTGTACAACACATTCGAGTCGGCATACAAATGTCAATATTATTAAAAATAATAAAATCACATTGCACTGAACTACTATGGCTCTATATACACTTATTATCTTTAAATATTAACTTCGTTTAACCCTCTCAGAAATGAGGGGAGGCCTGTGACGTATATAGGCAGTAACTTTACGTTTTTTTTACTTTAATAACTTTCTTTCATTTCTTTTTAAAAATGTTACCTTTACAGTAGAATTTTCTTAGAGGGTTAATTTTAACAATTTAACATGGAAGTTAGCTATGAAAAGGTCAATCTGACAATTACCTAAAGTGAATGGTTTTATAATAGCTCAAAATTTATTAAAAATAGTGACGATGGCTAGAAGGTATCTTATCTTCGAAGTAGTTAGAATGTTCGTTAGGAATACATGGCATGTCGTACCTAAATCAGGGCCGTTGCAATAGAACTAACCAAGGGTCGCATTAATCGAAAAGTTTATTTTAGAACTAAACTTGTGTTAAGCAGGCGCAACATTTCCACTTATATTTTTACAAATAATTTTCTTAATAATTTCAGCTTTTTAAGTTTTTCTACAACGGACCATACAGGTTTTCATGTTAACTGCTTTTAACAAGTAAAACTTGTGAGGCACTACGTTTTTCTTAAATTTCAGCAGTCCCCATACTTATTTAAACTTTACATAGACTAAGCATATCATTTTCAATTAAAAAAATGTATTTATTTTATGACGACCGGTGTGGTGTACCTTACCATAACAGACTTTGGGTTCGATTTCCGAGCGGAAACGATTCTGGGTAGATATTCTGTTACTGTATAAATGATATTGTATTAGCTCTAAATAGCTATGTTTATTCAAAATATCTATTCAGGTTCTAAGCATAGCTAGAAAAATGTCACACGCATTCTTTCGCGCGTTTCATGCTTTCTCAAACTTAGTTTTAGTTAAGTTTATGCGTTTACCTCTGTTATAGAACCAATGACTATCGCTATACCTCAGATAATTATATTAGTTATTGTAAAAAACATCACCTTCTTCCTCTTGCTACGCGTCGTGAGATTGCTGACCTCACTTTTCTGTTGAAAATAGCTTGTAGTGCTATTGACTGTCCTGAGCTTCGATCAACAATACTTGTTGATCGAAGGTCCTGAACTTTTACCTCAACTACATGTTAGCTGTCCTGCCAAACCTTTTAGATACAACAAAATTTTAAGTCTCCCGTTTTCATCTACAAATTATAGACAAAATACATTTATATGGCGAGCGAGCAATAATTTAAATAAGCTAGCCAATGAGTATGACTTCGATTTGGTTAACACTAGTGCTGCGTCAGCTAGGCGCATACTCAACAATGCATTTTTGGTAGCTCTAAGTGAGATATTGATGCGTTGCTACAACAACTATGATTTACTTTTGTATTTGTGTTTATTTTTCTGTTAAAAATAGCTTGTAGTGTTATTGACTGTCCTAAGTATGAGTTGATTGTCTTTTATATGTATAATACAAGTTTAGCTCTCATTTGGCCTAAATATGTTGTATTGGATACTTTCGAATGAATCGTATTTATCACTGTTGTAAATTCACTTTTATATCTATTAGTAAGGATCTTTAAAAATTATTAATTATATAAATGTTTATATATAAATGACAAATATCTAAAAAAAATCAAAAAAATTAATCAGTTTTTCCATATTTACCATTATTGTACATTTCTTTATAAGTCATATATTCGTCTAAACTATAAAAAACATTTTGTTGCCAACGATTCTGTGAGTTTCTTTTTAAAAACAACGAAAGGAGGATTCCTTTAAAAAAATATAAAACGATCATCCACTTTTTTCTGATATTTGGCTAGTATGGTACCAACATAAAACAATTTATTTGGTTGTATTTGGTCGTATTGTACTCGGGGACTACACAATACTTAAATGACAATTTTAGGCAAAAATGATAATCACAGCGGCGGAGAGATATGACGTCACCGCGCTTTTTCCGGCTGACCTAATTTTTACGATAACATCGCGAGGGAAAATACACTTTAGTTTTCATTGTCTCAGCCATTTTTTAGCTAGGAAAACAATAAGATACTATTTTTCTTGGAGTTTTATCTAGTTTTGTAACGAATACAGAACAAAAATACTTGTTTCACTCATTGCTAAGTCACTGCGCTACGGAGCCGTCAACTAGCTCATAATGCTTCATTCATTTTATTAATTACACCTGCTGATAAAAAGTCATTCAAATCTAAATTCACTTTTTTAGTAACACTAACATCTTATATTTTGTTATATTTTTTATTTTTTCTGTCAGTAACAACAACCTATAGAGGTTAAGCTGCAACTTAAATAGCGTATTATAAAAAAGTATGGCTACCTTTTCTTCAAGTGTGAGGGGCGTGCCGATTTCTTTGTTAGTGAACTGTACGCACGCGACGGTACCATCCGAACTGCAGGCTAACAGATTCAATCCTGAACACAAACAAACTGCTTTAAGTTTTTTTTGGAGGTTAACCACTTCAAATTAGTACAATGAAATTAGTTACAACATTCTAATAATTACTTAATTATTTGTCATTAAGTACAAATAAACATGTCTCAGGGTTCGATTCTCAGCCCATTCCTTTTTGTTGTCTATAAATGACTTGCTTTATATAGTAGGTGACAACCATACCATAGTAATATTAACTGATGAGATTTAATAATTTTTCAAACAAAAATTACATATCTAAATTAGTACACCGGGTTAACATAGCACGGTTGGAAGCTGAGCTCAAAGCCACAGAGCACAAAGCATACCATCGGAGCTCCAGGAGAGGTCGAGCACGCTGTCGCTGAATAGGTCGTGCACCACCACCAGCGGCCGTTTCAGTGACGTGAGCCAGATGGAAAGCGCACGGTCACGCGACCCCACTGCCGCACAGCAGCACTTCTTGCCCTCCTTCACGAAGATGTTACTGTTGAAGCGCTGCAAATATTGCCAATATTTTTTTTAAGAATAATAATTTTTATTTCAATATACTGTACAAATAATTCAAATAATGTCTTAATTTAAAAATAGTTTAAATAACAGGCACCTGAACTAGGATAAACCTATATCTCAGGTGTATGTGCTAAGAGATATATTAACAAATATTTTCTGTTTCTTATATAAAATGAATAACATACTAACTAGTTAGGGTTATTTCGGTAAAATATATTATCATTAATTTACTTATGATATTAAGATAATTGATAGAATCAGGCGTTACTTTGCGGAAATCCATTATAATAAAAAATAAAAATATAAATTTATTCGCAACCTTCCACTAAATAAATTATTTAGCGGAAGGTTGCGAATAAATTTATATTTTTATTTTTTATTATGATATTAATTAACTTAAAGCAATCAGCAACTTCTTCATATCATTGTATGCCAAATTTTATAACCATGTTCGAATAACATTTTTACAGTCTGCCATTTTTAATGGATATGTGTACAAAAGAGCCGTGGTAGCTCAGTGGTTAACGCTCGCTGTAAATATAACAGAACGCGAGTAACCCGGGTTCGATCCACGCCGGCACCAATGAAATTGTTAATTGCAATTTTAAGTGCTGATTTACCACGTGCTCGGCGGTGAAGGAAAACATCGTGAGGAAACCTGCATGTCTGAGGAATAAGAAAAAAAATATTTCGAAGACATGTGAAGTTCGTCAACACGCGTTTGGGCAGCGCGGCGGACACTTCCTTGCCCTAAACCCTCTCAGAAATGAGGGGGAGGCCTGAGCCCAGCAGTGGGACGTATATAGGCTGTAACTTTACTTTTTAACTTTATATGTACAAAATCGCATTGACTTGATTATACAGAAAATGGCCAAGGAATGTAAAAAATCTATGCATGAAATAATGCCTTATTCTAATGTTAGTTTCAATTGCTTTATCTTTGCGTCTTTTATCAGTGACCTCTCTTCTGTAAGGCAATTTTAAGTGCTGTTTTAGTAACGTACTCATAACGAATAACTGGCGCATTGAGAGGACATTATAGGATTTATATAAGAGGTAGTACCAGTTACTCGACTCCACCGAGTCAGTAATTCATTCTTGGGGCGATGTATACGCTTTTACAACAAAATCCTAGAAAATATACAAAATTTGTCATACACAAAGTTCAAAAATGTTATTTAACTAAGTTTGTATAAAAAGGGTTATTATAATATTAAGGAATTTATGGATAATAATAACCCCTGGGAAGGGTGATCGCTACCAAGCTATTTATAATTTGTCTTGTGTTGAATTGTAAACATGATTGTAAGCTATATTGGAAAAAAAATAGTCCCGCTGGGTTTCTTGCTGGTTCTTCCCAGGACAGAGGTTTTTTTGCGAACCAGTGGTAAATTAAAAAAGTGACTTTCAATAAGTATTGTTATAATCTACATTGAATAAAAAAGTTTCTGTTTCTGTTTCTGATGGAACGGGAATAGAATAGGACGGAATGTTGTGACCTTTAATACATCTCTTTGAGCGCGTTCCACTGGTAACAGTGTAGTTTTAGCTGCTCCTCCCCATGAGATGACAAAAGGTGAGAATTGAATGACAAAACGCGAAATATACTTGCTTTACTACCTTAATACCAGCAAAAGAACGAATCCTTTTAAAAACAAACATTAGTTTACGGACTCTATTGCACGGTTGGTTTATGTGGTTTTTAAATGTTAAATAGTTTTTGTATTAAAAATAACTGGACAGTTACATTTAGACTTTGCGACTGAGCAACATTGAAGTGCGTAAATTTCTGGAATGATTATATGCTGGGTTGAGCTGCGCATAGAAAAAAGGTTTTGTCCGTATTCAGTGTTAATATGTTTTGTTGGAGCCATTTATTAACCCTATCAAAACCTTGCTGTGCATATAAATAAACCATGTCTACTGTATTTGCGGAAAAAAGTAGCACGGTATCATCTGCATAAGATATTATTTTACCTAAGTTCGACATTGCAGAGGCCATTTATATAAATCAAAAATAGGGTTGGCCCTAATACACTTCCTTGAGGCACACCAAAATTAGTATTTTTTGTGAGCTAACAAACTTATCGATTTTTATGTATTGATATCGATTTTCTAAAAAGTTCGCAGAGTTGAAGCTGCTTAACTCGAATACCTATGCTCTCTAGCTTATTTAATAGGATGGGAATAGAAACCGTACAAATGCTTTTGCGAGGACAAGGAAAATGACAATTGATTGATTGCCTTTATTTAATTCTTGAGAGACGTAATCGGTCATTTCCTGTACAGCATCAGCAGTGGACAATTTACGCCCGAAACCATATTTCATATTCGATAATACGGATTTACTTTGTAAATAATTCATTAATCTGTTGTTAATTTTTTTTAAATATATTAGACGTGGATGACGCGATTTTAAATATATTAGTATTGAAATAGGCCGATAATTGGAAACGTTTTTTTTTTGCCCCTAATTTGAATACTGGAACTACAATTGTTTTTTTAATCAATCTGAGAAGATTTCTTCAGAGGCAAATTCAGAAAATGATTAATGGTGGTACTAGAATTTGTCTTTGTTTAATATACTAATGGGTATGCCATCCCAACCAACTGCGCTTGTTTTTTTCAGTCCCATTATAATCCTTTCCACCTCAGTAGGGTCCGTGTCTAATAATGTGAACGAGCTTAATTAGCAGTTTTTTTTGAGTTGAGAAAGTGGCCCTGTGTTCATGATTATTGTTCGAATTGTTTATTATCCGTCGCAAGATTTTTACCAACGTTCACAAAGGAATTATTAGCTGTATTTGCTGATATAAGCAGCGAGGAATTATTTTGTAATAATTCTGACGAAGATTCATGCTGTTTGGATATAAATGTAATATCTTTTACATGCCGCCAAATCTTTTTATTATCTCTACCGGACTCTACTAATAAGCTTGTAAGATAATTATACTTTAACTTGTTTTAATAAATTGTTACAAAAATTCCTATATCTTTTGAATGAAATTTGTAAAATGGAAATACCTGAAGAGGATTTTGCCATCAGGTGTAGTTTGTCCTTATGTTTCATGCATTTAATGAAACCCGGTGTAATCCAAGGCTTTAAGTTATTATTATTTTTAGCTACTGTGGTATATGAAGTATTGATAACGATGGCATTTCGTATGTTATTTATTAAGTAAGGCAAAGAAATGTATACTTCATCGGTTTTATGAACTGGGCTAAAGTACATGTTTTGAATTGCTTTTTCAAGATTTTTCATATTAGTTTTAGTAATAGAGTATTTATACTTAGGTTTCTGTATTTTAAGGCTTAAATTAAGAATAATGGCACTATCAGCGATATAATATCGGTTACTATGGGACTAGATAAAAGTATTGTCTAAACAAGAACCACTTAGATGAGTAGGGAGCAAATGTGCTGGAAGCAGGCCCTGGCATGCACAGATATTAAGGTCTTTTTATCTTTTGCTCCGCCTTCAATGGCTTCTGGGTTGAGATCTATATTTAATATCACCCATTAACACTGTATTTTTGAATGACGACAGTTGCCTAAGCCTATTGACTAATGACGTAATAAAATTGTCTATTTGTTTAAAACCACAAGGTAAACTACTCTCACCCATAACCCATTCCCGTATGTTCGTATTTTTGTTCGAAAAGACTACTATACCGTCATTATATACAGTTTTACAACGAAAAGTATTGTATCCTAGCAGTAATGGCAGGTTGTTTTGGCTTTTAGATATAAAAAAAAACTCAATTGCACTCTATTTTTATAAGGAAATTTTTAAGTTACACGGATTTTTTAAGTCTTTCGGACAAAGTTGTTATATTTCCCTACCCATAATCAAGAAATGACCAAAATAAAATACCTACTTTTGAAACAAACGAAATTTTCGACAGTATTTCAAAGTTATCACAGTAGCATAGGTAAAATCAAACAAAATAATATAATTTTAAAAAGTACAGAACACGACTCACAGCACAAGTAACAGCCTTACGGTGGCCCACAAAGTCCTTGTCGCATCGCCAGCCGTCTCGTTCGACGACCTGTGCTGTGGGTCCTCCACCATTCATTGCGTGCGCTGACAACACATACTGACCGTCTGGTGACCACGATAGCCGCAGCACATGAGTTGTACCTGCATATTAGAAAAGACATTATGTTGTGATGTTTATATTTTCTCTTATTCATTAACCCACAGTAGACCACACCTGGACGTGGTACCTGGAGATTTTTGACATGTCACCGGTCTGGATAATCTACATCTGATATATACAATAGAGTATAACGCCATCTATTGAAGGTCATGAGGCCTATCCAGCCTTTCCAATAGTTGACTATGAAGTCACCAATGAGCAAAAATGCCATGTATAGCGTAAAAGATCTACCAATACTCATCAGCTACAATGCTGGGCAAGCAAGTTGTGAACACAGCACCAATGCCTCGTACTGGCAATAATTGGCTCCATCACTAATGTAGGATTTTGGGTCATCATTTATGAATGGACATACGTCATATATGTATCACCAAAGACTGGTATGTTAGTCAACAGGTTCTTTCAATAATTTTCTTCACTACCTTTTACAGAGACTTTTTTTCAGTTAACAAAGCATTTCATGATACTGTTCAAGGGTTCCAACACAGTTCTTAACTAAGAATTGGTGTTGTTTAGATTGTGGCTGTGTATGAAGTCAGTGAATCTACTTAACATCTAGAGGATTATATCTCGTTTATTAAAATAATATATTAAAAAACTGCAATTTTAATATATTTAATTTACAATAAAATAAGCTTTCAAAATAAAACTAGATATCTATGTGTTCGTGCATTAGACAAATGTTCAATAATAATTAAAATTTTATGTTAAAATATAAGATTAAAACTACTTTTACGGATTCATTTTTAAATAAAAATAAACGCGATAAAATCCGTAAAAGTAGTTTTAATCATGTGTAGTGTACGCGTAAATATAAGAAATCATTAAAATATAAGATTAAGATATGTTAAATGCTATTGTTATGATGATTAAGTTAATTAATATATGCGATGTAATCTATAAAAACTAGTTGTATTTAAATGTGTAGTGTTTACGTAAATATAAGAAATTATTATATTAATGAGTTCGCGTCCATGGCGGTTAAGGTGAATACGTGAACTAGCACAATTTTTGTAATGGGCATCCACGACTGTTTTGCCACTAGGGCAGCACCACTGTAACATGAGGTGATATATTTGACAGTCTATATAGTGCGGAATTTGAAAAGTTTTCACAATATTACTACTATGTTTATGTTTGATACATGTCTTAAATTTTATAATTAAATTAAAATGGATAAGCCAAACCATGGATTCTTAAAAGTAGAAGAATTTTAAAAAAGAACTAATAAATAGAGATGTAACATCTTATCATTAATCTTTTTAGGTATCTACTGAGCAAACTATAGAAAAACTAACAAGAAGTCAAAATGGAAGAAAAATCTGGCATGCAGAACGGGCACTACGTGTGAAAATGTTTCCAACTGTCACCTCTCACGACACCCACAGCGCTTAATGAATAGCGGATTATCTTACATCACCATTACATGGTAGCTACCATTGCATACATAAAGACATATATTTTCAATAAGCAATTCCACCGCTGTTTTCTGTCTAAATCTCCTATTTATTTGTTACTTCTAATTAAAGAAAATACTGCATCACGTGTTGCGGAAATATGTAAATTTACTGATATACGTAGAGGGATTAATATTTCCAAAAATTTAAAAAATGAAGCTGTTCAGTGAGGAAAGTTCAAAGAAAATTTTGCTATTCAGTGTTATGAGGCCATGTCAGGGAAAGTTGTGACACATTAATTATTTCGTGTGAACACCCCTTCATTGGAGCATCTTCAGATGGAATAATAGATAACGATAAAATACTAGAAGTAAAATATACCTTTTTAATAAAAAATTATTTGATAACTTCTAAAAATGATCCACACATATTTATAAGTAATAATGACCTAAGCCTTAAAGAAAACAGTAATTATTTTTATCAGATACAAACCCAGTTACTTGTCAGCAGAAAGTCTGGATGGACTAATTGTGATGAAAAAAAATTGTTGCACACAGGAATGACAATATTATTAACAACATTATAATCCACAAGACAACATAATTTTATTTCACTTATATGTTTACCTCTTATCACTAAAAAAAATTTATGATATAAATTAGGCAAAAAATATTTAAACAGATTTATTATTGATTCATCCCTAAGTCTGCTTAATATGCAATGGGTACACTTATAAATTATTGTCAAGAAGATTAGAAAAATAAGTAGATTAAACATTGTAACAATCAAAACCATTTTTTTCTTTAACATTTAACTTGCAATTCCTAATCTTTGGAAGTATACATTAAAATAACTTATTTTATTAAATTGTTTTATTTAATACATGTCATAGTATAATATTTGACCTAAAATTTGCCAACATAAAACAAATATAAATAATCCTACTATCAGGAGGTACTAAAGTGGATACGAATTTACTAGACAAAATTTTACGTATTGTCCAACCTATTACTCTTTCTACATGTATTCTATTAGAGCATAGTCTTTTGGATCTTTGTAGTTGGTGTGATTCAAACTGTACATTAGTTTTATTTAAAAATGCAGGCATGTTTACTGTAATGTTTTTGTGACACACAAGGTCTTGTATTTTAAATCCTCTGTCACCAAGAATAATATTTCCATTCTGCAACAAATCTATTAATCCACACTTTTCAAAGAATTTTCTCTCACTAATAGACCCAACATATGCATCTAAAAAAAATGCTACACATCCAGTAGCAGAAACACCAACAAGCACTTTAAGAGGTTAGAGTAAGTCAGCTCAAATTCTAATTTCGCCCCCACTTCCCCCGCGCGTCGAATGCTATGTACCGACATGTTTGTAATCACTAATACTGTAAGTATATAGGTCGTTAGACACTTATTTCATTAGGTTTATCATATTTATGCCTTTTTCTTAACGCCAAGCCAGCCGCTTCTTATTTTTATAACGGTTATTTCCCATTTTAATTTTACGTCCTACTGTTGCGTAATGTATTTTCTGATCGTAAGCGACACAACTTCTCCCTTCAAAAGCCGGAGCGATACTAACGGGGTGACAGGAATCAAGCTTACGCGCCGATGGTTTAGGTAATTTCTTTTTACAGTGAAAATAATGGCATTTTAAAAAAAGTAAATAACATAAGCACTGCTTTATAGTTAGTTCAGTTAGTGTGCAAAGTTTCATGATCTTATTAAAAGTATTTTATGAATAACAGCGGTTTATTGTGCAGTTTGGAGGTAACTTTGGATTTTTTTTCTATCGAGAAAATTTTACGGAATCGTGTTTTCGTCTAACATAAACCTTAACATTAATCCTCACCTTTACCATATATTTATTTCAAAATTAATGCTGCAATTTCGGCATAACGGAGGATCTTGCTAAGCCATTTGAGGTTATATTTCCCCTTAAGAGTGTTAGGTGATTTATAACTTGAGTAAGTTAATTATTGAGAAGCAGGATTTTTAGGTTTCTCAAATTTTATTTCTGTACAAGTATTAGTTTTGCCCATTATTGCCTAGTACTTTCTTAGAAACCCACAAATTTAGGTCTTTCAGTTCACAGTATAGGTAGTTAATCCATGTTATAAAAATATTACTAACTGATGACTCACTATTTTGAAACGAAAACATAATTCTATATTTTATGTGTTTCTTCTCAGTTCCATAACTGTGAGAAAAAACTCATTGAAAGGAGTGTGGAAACAAGCACCTTGCAATGGTTTCATTGTAGGATAATATTTTAGTTCATTTACTTCCTCACCAAACTAAATATTGTTACAAGCTTAGAGTTCGTGACAGTAAAAACTGCCGATTGAATTACCAAACTTGACACTTTAATTACCGAACACCAATTAAAACTTAAAACACACTAATAATTAATCACACTTAACACTTTAGTTCACTTTATTTCGCTCCAAAGTCTTCGCTTGTGTCGCCAATTCAATACTGACTCGGTCGCAGCCCATAACGGCTTTATACAGGGCGTTTTCTACTGAAACATCTAGAATGTTCGAGTATAATGTCGAAAGTTCGACATCAAATTTTCAAGAAAGATTTTGACGCTCCTATTTCTGCTACTCGATACTAGATGGCGCTAATAATAACCCGCCATGTACCAGGCATCAAATATGAAGCGCAACAATATGAACATAAAATGCTCATAATGATCACATCCTGTATAGGAATGTACTTCCTTGGTGCCACTTATGTGCCACACACAATTTTGTGTAAAAAATGAATCTATATTAAATGAATCTATATTTCCACTGCATCTTTCCGAATAAAGACGTGGTTGTTTTTCATGTATCACAATATTGTTACTACAACATAAATCACCTTTAGAACACCATATCCTTATCCCTATATCTTTGGTCACGCTTTCAATTCCCACTTCAACACATCTTATATTTTCTATGGTTATGATACCTTTTGTCAAGATTATATGCAATTTTCTTTTCTTGTTCTCTCTTTTGATAGCGTCCGATTTTTTTTTTTTGATCATTAAGATGAGAATAATTCCAGAAAAACAGATTTGGCACAACCTCTTTTTTCAAACGAGGAGTTGCTAAAAATCAAGATCATGACAATAGAAACGATGTTCAAGAAAAGAGGTTAAGTACACTGATTTAATCAAATAGGTTTTTTTACAGAAGAGGGGACAAACGAGCATGCGGCTCACCTGATGGTAAGTGACTACCACCGCCCATGAACAACCGCAACACCATGGAATTGCAGATGCGTTGTCGGTCTTTTAATAAGGAATAGGCTCTTTTTTTGAAGGTCCCTAAGTCGTATCGGTCCGGAAAAGTCGCCGGTGGTAAACAATTCCACAGAGAAGTTGTACGAGGAAGAAAACTCCGCAAAACGTCAGTAGTGGACCGCCAAGCATCCAGATGGTGAGGATGATATCAGGAATCTTGACGCGATGTGCGTTCGTGAAATTTGGCGGCTGGAACTAATCCGGACAATTTCTCAGAACCTGCCCATGGTAGATACGATAGAAAACGCAAAGGGATGCAACATCCCTATGCAGTGGCAGTGAATCGAGCCGATCAGTAAGAACTCGGTCGTCGACGATTCGAATCGCTCTGCGCCGGATGCGGTCAAGTGGAAGAAGCTGGCACTGGGGTGCCCCGGCCCAGAGATGAGAACAGTATTCCATGTGAGGCCGAACTTGCGCTTTGTAAAGTTGCAAGCGATGTGCCAGAATGAAATATTGTCTCACTTTGCTGAGCACGCCAAGCTTTATAAAGGCCAATTTGGGCTTCCTCACCAAGTGACTACGAAACTGCACACTATTCGATATGTCAACGCCGAGGATTCTGATGCTAGCTGAGGCAGCAAGGAGAGTGCCTTCAAACTGAGGAGACACGACAAAGGGGTTCTTTTTAGCGGTTAATGCGCAAACTTGTGTCATCTGGGGATTGAATTGGACTAGATTTAGTCGCCCCCAATCGGAGACTAATCTAACTTTAATCTATGTATCTAATACTAACAATTTTTGTACAACGAATACTTTGGTAATGTATAGTCTTCAGGAGTGAAGTGATTTGTGAATGTTTTGATGGAATAAAATTTTGTCTCCGTACAGCTATTATCCATGTTTTTAACCGAGAAATATGTGCCAACCTTTGGCCGATGAACGTTATGGTACAGCACACCACTGAGGCATCGTTTTATGTATAAACGTACACTAGAACCGAAAGGCTTCCAAATAAAACGCAATTTTCCGAGGTGTATTGTGACAATGACAGATTGTTAAACCTCAGTTGCTAACAGTGACATCTGGTGAGCAGAAAATTATTAGCCCTCATTGTCAAACCAATGCAATAGCATTGCGTAAAATGTTAACGCCAACAGAAATGTACGGGTGTACCATACACTATGTAATTCTTTTATAGAATAAGGGTGACAAGTGGGCACACAGTCCACCCAATTCTAAGTGGACGCTGTGGCCCATAGAAATGCAGATGCGTTTTCACCCCTGGAATAAGATGGATACCTCATTTCCAGTAAAAAGGGTCTCCAGTTCTCTACATTCACTATATGAAACACAGCAGCCTTAAGCTGCTATTTTCTGGTATTTTGTGAGAGAGTGGTCTAACCCCATTCAAGCCTAATAACAATTTTTGTGAATTAGTACTAAAAACAGTGCAAATACAAATTCAACTTATTTTTATCTTTTTCAAGGAACTGTAATAATTTATAGGGGGTGATGCTTAACTAAAAACCTACCTCCACATTCCTCAAATGGTTCAGTTATAACAGTTTCTTGTGCCCAATCAGCTGTTTTCCAAACTCTTAGTGATTTGTCATCTGATTGTGATGCTAAATACTTCCCCACCTGAAGGATAGATTTAAAAAATGGGAGTATGTATTATGTTATAATGGCGACATTTAATTAAATTATTTAATAAAATTAAAATAAATGTTTAAATAGCTGTCAAAGTATTTATTTTAGTATTGATTATTAAACGTTTGCCAGAACTTAACAAAATTTTCTTCAATTTATTTTATATCTTTTTTTTTATTAAAAAGCCTATACTGGGTAATTCTCCTGTGTTGTGGAGGTAACCAGGACCAGGACAAACATACTAATGTAGTATATGTTAATGCAGGAATGAAAATCGCATCCTGTAGTATCATTACCAAATCTTAAGCCACTGCACTACAGATTCCATTTTTCCATATTCCATTTAGATATCCACAAACATAATTAATGTTATGTCACCATTTTTTATATATTCTGTACTAACTAACTAAAGAACCCTCCTCTATCTACCTCTTGAAATTTAAATTAAATTCCAATTTTTTCAAACTTATTTCATCTAATTTATATATTTTGAATATATATACACTCACCGGCACGGAAACTTGGCCAAGCGGTTATCTCGCGATAGCAAAGGCTTTAAATGTTTCTGATGAATGTTTGTTATTCAGTTATGTCCAAAACTGTTTACCCTCAAGTTCAAGAGGGTAATTCATTATGTTTAAGTGCACCATGACGAATTCTTTAATTTTTAGTTGAATCGGGTCATTTGAGCGACTAAGTTCACATTTTAAATTTGTGTGTTGTGAAAAGTTTACTGTAAGGTTATTCAATTATTGTGATCTTGTGTCTTAATTAAATAACTAAAGGTGCTTTAAAGCCAATAAAAATGCCATTAACACCAGCACAAGTTGCACAAGCAGTAGCATTAATTGACCAAGGGCTGACACAGCGTGAAGTTGCTATTGTGCTTAACGTACCACGGTCCTCAATGCAGTATTCACTGAAACGATACCAGGAGACAGGCCGCTACACCCGCAGGCCAGGCAGTGGGGGCGTAAGGTGCACATCGGCCCGGGACGATCGTTTTATTGTTATGGAGATTTTGAGAAACCGCTACCTGACCGCTGTTGAGATACGCCAGCGGCTCCAAATCGCAAGAGGCGTTAATGTTAGTGAGCGTACGGTGAGAAGACGAATGGAGGAAGTGAATTTAAAAGCTCGTAGACCAGCACGAGGTCCAGAACTTCTCAGACAGCACCGAGTAGCCCGACTTCAGTTCGCAAGAGAACATGTCAATTGGACCCACGAGCAATGGGCTAGAGTGTTGTTCACAGATGAGTGTCGAATAGCTTTACGTGCTCCAGACGGTCGAGAACGAGTGTGGAGAAAAAGAGGAGAGAGGTTTCTACCCATTACCACCACCCAAACTGTGAGTTTCCATGGAGGCTCAATAATGGTATGGGGAGGTGTAAGTTCCGACGCACGTACAGAGTTGGTCATCGTCGATAATCGGCTTACAGCTACTCGATACATCGAGGAAGTTCTTCAGGAGCACGTAATGCCTTATTCGGGATTTATTGGACACGACCAATTCCTCCTCATGCACGATAATGCACGCCCGCACGTCGCACATTGTGTAGAGGAATATCTGGAAGAGGTTGGAATACAAAAATTACAGTGGCCAGCTCGTAGCCCGGACTTAAATCCAATTGAGCATGTATGGGGTATGCTCAAAAGAAAGATAAAGTCCAGCTCCAAACCGCCACAAACTCTAAATGAGCTCCGAAATGCAGCGCTGGCCGCTTGGGACAGCATACCGCAAGTTGATGTCAGAAACATCATTCAAAGCATGCCAGATCGAATGCAAGCGGTTATCAGGGCTAGAGGAGGAAACACCCGATATTAAAACTGATAGACAATAAAGAAACAGACTTAATTTTTAACTTTGTAGTGTTTTTAAAGTGACAATGGAAAGATGTTAATTTTAGTGAAAACATGTTATCTTGAAAAGAAAAATTTCGGTGAAGTAAACATTAAATTTCTATGTTCTAAAACCATTAGAGACACTTATTGAATGCATCTACCCTTAATTTACTGTTAAAAAAACGTTTCAGTGCAAATAATCAGCAAATTCACGAGTGGCCAAGTTTCCGTGCCGGTGATTTTATTTTGTCTCTCTAGGTTCTCTATATTTTGTATTTTAAAACTTATATTTGGATTTGTATAAAATTTATATTGATAAACACAACACAACATTGATAAACATCCATACCCAGAACAACCAATATTTAAAACCAAATGATGGGTTTATCATTATTAACAAAAGATGAACTTAATTATTATTCATAACCTTTGTACAGGCATTTGTCCAGTTTATTTTTTTGAAAAAATTATTAGTGAAGTGTAATTCAATTACAGTAAAACAATACATACTGGGTCCCAAGCAACTCCTTTAACCAGACCAGTATGACCATTAAGCACACAGACCATCTCAGGAAACTTTTCAGCATTCCAAATGATGATGGTATTGTCCACACTGCAACTAGCCAACCATTTATCCAATGGTGACCATGCAAGATCAAGGACATCACCTGTAACAAAAATTAAAAATATATTATCCGGCAAAAAAAAAATGGAATCAAATGGATTCTTAAATAAGTGAAACTTATGTATGTTGTAAGTTGACACCGAGGAAGACTAGGAGAATAGTTCTCAATGAAGACTGGTTTAGCCCTCTTATCCATAGAAAAAGTTGGTGAAAATTGTAAGTGGTAATGCTTATTCTCACTTAAATCTCATTACATTATTGCCAAACCTTTGAATTAAATAGGTATATTTATTCTCAAAATAATTACCAGCATGTCCTCTCAATGTTGATAAACACCTCCATGTCTCAGCCTTGTGTTTGCCAGGTGCTGACGCAGCTACACTCAGTCCCCACACCATAACAAGGCGATCATCTCCACCAGATGCTAGATATCGACCACCATTGCTCCATCGAACACAGTTTACACAAGCTATAAATTTGAAATTGCAATATTAAATTTTATAGCAATAAGTATATTCAAAATGTTTTTTTTTTATATAGAAGAGGGGGGCAAACGAGCATGTGGCTCACCTGATGTTAAGTGACTACCGCCGCCCATAATCAACCGCAACACCAGGGGGAATTGCAGGTGCGTTGCCGGCCCTTTAGAAAGGAGTAAGCTCTTTTCTTGAAGGTCCCCAGGTCGTATCGGTCCGGAAAAATCACCGGTGGTAAATTATTCCACAGAGAGGTTGTACGCGGAAGAAAACTCCTTTTGAAACGTACAGTGGTGGACCGCCAAGCATCCAGATGGTGTGGATGGTATCGGGACGTTTGCCGTGTAGTGCGTTCACGAAATTTGGCGGCTGGGATTAATCCGAACAATTCCTCAGAGCACTCCCCGTGATAGATGCGATAAAATACGCAAAGAGATGCAACATCTCTTCGCAGCGCCAGTGAATCGAGCCGATCGGAAAGCACTCGGTCGTCGACGATTCGAGCCGCTCTGCGCTGGATGCGGTCAAGTGGAAGGAGCTGGTACTGGGGAGCCCCAGCCCAGAGATGGGAACAGTATTCCATGAGCGGCCGAACCTGCGCCTTGTAAAGTTGCAGGCGGTGTGCCGGCATGAAATACTGTCCCGCTCTGCTGAGCACGCCAAGCTTTTTAGAGGCCAATTTGGCCTTCCCTTCCAAGTGACCACGAAACTGCACGTCACTCGATATGTCGACGCCGAGGATTCCGATACTGGCTGAGGCAACAAGGGGAGTGCCTTGAAACTGAGGGGATACGACAAAGGGGTTCTTTTTAGCGGTTAACGCGCAAACTTGTGTCTTCTGGGGGTTAAACTGGACTAGATTTAGTCGCCCCCAATCCGAGACTCTGTCCAGCAGAGACTCGACTTCAGACACAAGTTTGTCCCGGCACTCAGAGACGTTTTCCCGAGAAATATTAGCTCGGCCGGTGTAAAGAGCATCACCAGTGCTGTCATCTGCATAGCAATGAATGCTACGGGTTTGCAACATATCATTGATATGCAGAAGAAACAGCGTTGGCGATAGCACGCAGCCCTGTGGAACACCAGCATTAATAAGCTTGCAATCGGAGCTTGCACCGTCTACAACGACCTTGATGCTCCGATCTGCAAGAAAACTGGTGATCCAATCGCACAATTTCTCGGGAAGCCCATAGGAAGGGAGCTTCGAAAGAAGCGCTTTGTGCCAAACCCGATCGAAGGCCTTCGCAATGTCCAAACTAACGGCCAATGCCTCCCCCTTGGACTCTACTGCCTCCGCCCATCTGTGAGTTAGGTAGACCAGAAGATCACCAGCTGACCTACCACGGCGAAAACCGTATTGGCGGTCACTAATCAGCTGGTAATCCTCAAGGTACCTCATGAGCTGGCAGTTTACAATGGACTCCATTGTTTTGGAGAACAAGGAGGTGATGGCGATAGGCCGGTAGTTGGACGGGTCTGAGCGGTCGCCTTTTTTAGGGATCGGGTGGACGAAAGCCGTCTTCCATGATTTTGGGACTACGCCTAGGGAGTAGGAGTACCGGAAAAGACGCGTTAAAACCGGTGCCAACTCTGGAGCACACGTCCTCAGCACAATTGGGGAGATTCCATCAGGCCCACTCGACTTATGGATGTCCAGGGAGAGGAGTGCTTTGCGAACCGAGCGCTGAGTGAACTGCACTTCCGGCATGGAGCACTCACACCGCGGGATGGTCGGCGGCGTACTCCCCCGTCATCGATAGTCGAGTTAGACGCAAAGAAAGAGCCTAGAAGATCGGCTTTCTCCTTTGCGGTGTGGGCCAGTGAGTCGTCCTCCCTGTGCAGAGATGGAAGAGATGGCTGACAGAAATTCCCCTGGACAGCCTTGGCGAGAGACCAGAATGCACGGGTTCCAGAAGGAAGACGACCTAGTCTCTCGCCAATTCTGCCTATGTGCTCTGACTTTGCCTTGGCAATGACTCTTTTGAAGGACCTAGAGGCGGAATTATACTTCTTTTTTAGAGCGCTGGTGTTTACATCCCGGGACGCTGATGCGTCAGCCCAGGCTCGGTAGCACTCCTGCTTATAGCATGATGCTATTTTACAGGAGCGACCAAACCATGGCTAAGATTTGCCTCTAATGGGCACCACAAAGGAAGGAATAAAAAGTTCCATACCCTGAAGTACCACATCAGCGACAGAATCCGCAACAACGTTGGGATCGTCCGGCGAGAAGCAAACCCGCCCCCAAGGGTAGGATGCAAAGAAAGACCGCATCCCATCCCAATCGGCTGACCTATAGTGCCAAACACGGCGGCAGCCTGCAGAATGCAACCGCGATTTCAGCGTGAGTGGCACGACACTCCGGACAAGACAATGGTCCGAGGAGCCTAAAGGGGCGTCGACGGAAATCTGATATCCGTCCGGGTGAGAGGTCAGCAGAAGGTCCAACAGGGAAGGTGCATGATCCTCCACATCTGGAATCCGCGTAGGCGAAGTAACCAGTTGTGTCCGACCGCATATGTCTGACACATGCCCAACAGCAAGGCAAAATCATGAACAGATCTCCCCGCATGATCGGTTAAACGTGAACCGAGCCATTCGGCGTGATGGGCGTTAAAGTCGCCGAGGATCACGATCTCTGCGGAGGGTATCTGCTGTAGCAACGAATCTGCAGCCATTTGGACGTGGTCGAAGAGTCGGTCTGTTTCGGCATTACCGCTATGGGACCTATAGAGGCACCCGTAGACGCGCGGATGGACGTCGCTGTCTACGCGTAGCCAAAGGATGGACAGGTCCGAACCTTCAAGTCTGCCGAGGCGTCGAGAACAGATGTCCTCTCTGACGTAAACGCAAACTCCAGCCCGAGGCACAAAGGAGTGTTCCAGTTTGTACCCCGGGCAGGAGAGATACGAGACATCAGCCGGAGAGGACACCTGCGTCTCGGTCAGAAAGAGCAGAGCCGGCCTCGCCGTCTCGAGATGGTAGTGGACGGCGTTTAGGTTAGAGTGAAGTCCCCTGATATTGCAGAAATTCACGGACAGCGTGGCAGGGGTCGCCTTGGTCTTGTTGCTCCGTTTGCCCCGAGCAGTTTTAGTCTTGAGCGGAATTTTGCCCCCCCCCCAGAATACGCGGGGCAGCCTGAGCACCCACGCTCAGAAGTGGAGAAACATGGTCGTGGATGCTCAGCGAGGGATTCTCCAGGGGTGCTGGTACCCTCCTGGGGTAGTCTATCATTTAATTCCGCTGCCATGTTGATGGGGGGGGGGGGGGGGATTTGGGCCTCCGGCCACCTGCACTCACCAGACGAAACGCGGAAGCAGAGCTTCCACTTCACGCCGGTATAATAAATGTCAAGTGCCGGTAAATGTCAAGTGTTTTTTAAATTGTTAATTTTTAAATAATAATTTAATCTTTAAGCAAATGTTGTGTGTTTAAAGATTTAAAAATTATGATTTTCATATGTTATGTTTATTATTACAACAGAAATAAATAATTGGATGGAGCCTACGTAGCATTAACTAAATGTTAATTCATAAAACATATTAACTAGACTTGCAACAAATAGTATATTCGGCCACATGCTGAATACCAAATATTCTGCGGACTTCTTAGCAAAATAGCCAAATATTAGACAAAAGTATTCGGACGAGAAGGAAGTAGCGTTTATTTTTCAGAATGTCTATTCTCTGAAGTTAAGATTGTCTATGAGAAGGAAAGGAGTAAATTACTGCCTGAAAATAAAGAACAATTAATCTGACAGTTATTTTTTTATCTTTGTATTACGGAAGTTGATTATATACCTATGAATTAATTATAAAATATATAAATATTTTCATTTTACCAATTATCTGACTACAATAAAACCTCTTACTTAAGTATTCGGTATTTATCCGAATAGTACCCAGATATTCCGTATTCGGTCAAATAGGATAAAAGTAGCCGAATATTCATTGCAAGTCTACAATTAACAGAAAATAATATGGTATGAATTCTATTTAAAAAGAAGCTTTTATAAGTATTGCTATAGACTAGAGACAGTGGTGAAGCTAGGGCTCCAAACTAGGGCAAGCCCAAGATATGGTTTTGTTGTTTTTAGCAGTTTAATAAAAAGACACCAATCTTGAGCTGTCTCCACCCTTTAGTTTCATATTCAGTGCTGTCAAGGACGTGTTTAACAAAGCACACAGAAAGCATACTACCGCTAGATAGATTGTATGACATATGCAACTGCACACCTTCGGTGGTTTTGAAAAGAGCCGTTTGGGTTTGCTTGAGATATTTACAAACAATACAATAAATGAACAAAAGAAAAGCATGAATAAAGTATAAACTATGTACAAAGTTAAAAAAGGGATGCCCGGCAGATGTGAAACCTCGAAATTATTTTGTCTAGAAGTTATATGCATAAAAGAACAGATTACGACAGGAATTAGATAGTTATAATGAGAAGATAAAGCTTTGCTAATTAGTTACCATAAAATAATGACTATTTATTATATAATTATTCATTTTCAATTTATAACAAAACATACAAAATGATATAAAATTCATAATAAACCATACAAAATGATATTTTTAAACTCATATGGTAATATAAATATTAAATTAGCCGATAGCGTATTTGTGCCATCTAGATACCTAAAGATTACAGGTACCATCGTGAGAATCAACCAATTTTCGTTCGATAAAATGACTTTACCTATAGAATTAAGTAGATGGCGTATTAAAATTTTATATACTGGAAATAACTAAAGGGAGTATTCTTTAAAAACCTCAATACATTCTTCTGTATTCTTTTGATTTATTACATTAAAATTTGGACTTCACGTTAAAAAAAGATTGTAACACTTATTTCCTATAAAATTAAACCTAGGTGTCTCATATTTTATGCTGCCATTCAAAATGATATTTTTAATTAATATGGTAATATAAATATTGAGTTATTAAACCTTTAAATACGCCTAACTTAATTAATAACTAATTTAATACTAAAGAGTCATGTACCTATATTTAAAGTATGAAGAAATGTTTATTGAATATTAAATTTCATTTTTAAAGATTTTACCTTTTCCTCGCCGATTAGCACTTCAACACACTTATATTCATCACAATGAACACTATTATCCTCCCATTTTCACTGAAAATCTTTGAAAAATCATAAATTTTTAACAAACACAACAAAAACAAACATAAACATTGAAATGTGAAGTGAACTTGCATATGAATGGCCCGCACCCCATTCGCTAGTCGCTAATGCACTCCTAAACAACTTCAGGGCAAAGCCAGGCTTGTGGCTCAATAGTAATTGCTATATAAACATTTGGTAGTTATATTTCATTAGAGATCATTTTGCCACAGGTTAGAAAGGTAGTGATCATCTTCTCGAAAGCCCAGTAAAAAGCCCACGGGTGCAAGGGAGACAACGAATCGCTCAATTCAACTCTCCTTATATGTACCTATGGCAGCAGTATTCCTAAGGCTACGAGGTCGAACAGAGCGCGCTGGAAATTTGAAATATTGAAATAATACTAGTTTTTACGGAATTTATCGCGTATATAGAAATTCTCGATAAAGAAAATTTTAATCTATGGTAACCGCGGTTAACTATGACATCTGGACGATGAACATCACAGTCCCGCCCGTGACCATGAGTGCTGTAAAGCGTTCGAAACGTCGGGTATTTAAAAAGTTAAATATGCGCGATAAATTCCATAAAAACCAGTATTATTTCAATGTGTAGTGTTCGCGTAAATATAAGAAATCATTAAATTTGAAATAGTTTAAAACAGTTTACGAGTTATTTTATTACTTGATATTATTGATTAATTCAGCTTGATAAGGCAAGCCGGGCTTCTGGGCTTCTATAGAGGCTACGCCACTAACTAGAGATAGCCCAAATATTGATTTCACCGAATATGAATATTTGGTCGAAAGGTCAGTAAAACTTTAACCAAACCAAATATACAGCACAACACTATTCAACAGGATCATCTCAGCACGTAACCAATTTATGTCGAAACTTTTTACCGTAAAGCACGCGGGATTAGCGCCTGACCATGCCCCTCGCTGCCCCGCCACACCCGACATGTTATTGCATCATTTGTACTGAGCAAATTGCGGGCACATGCTTATGTTTTGACTAATTTTGTGAAAGAAAGATATTTTGTTGCGTTATTCTTAGTGAAAGTAAATAATTAGTATGATAAAAATGAGTGGTAATAGATCTACTATGAGGACTTATTTTAGAGAAACCAATGACCAAAGTAAAGTGAAATGTACTAATGTAATGTTTCTTCGATTGATTCCAAAAAAAAATTATCAAGCTTCCTATTTGCTATACTTGGAAATAAATCAGAAATATACTTGGAAAAAAAAAAGTGCCTCAAAAACATAATGCTATACAAGTAGATTTAACCCATAAATAAAATTTACTTTCAACAGTAAAATTAGGACAGACATGGCATTACTCAATTCATACATTTCAATACAGTGGAAACTTTGAGTACCAGTTTAACAAATGTTCGGTGATTTAGCTGAATATTTGACCGAATACAAATATTCGGTAAATCTGCCGAATATGCCAAATACCATATATGAATCTAATATTCGGTCCATCTCTACTATGATAGCATTGAGGTCCATCAGATCAGCTCTATGTTACCATACTGCATTGTAATCAAAATTATCAAAATATTAAAAATTTCAGGCCTTGGTTATCAGAAATGTTTCATAAATTTATTATAAACTTTGTACCAGAAAGACATAAAGAAAGTAATTATTAGTAAGTTTTTAGTTAGACAGAGATACTTTAGTAAAAATAATTTTTTTATTAAAATACTTTATACTAAATAAACGGATATAACTTTATGCTCTTCAACATACAACAGCCTGCGCCCTCCTTTCTGCCAAGGAGGGTCGCGTCTGTATACGGCTTAGAGATCTCTAGTTAGACCGTTAAGCCAGTCCCTAAAGGTGGGCTTTAGTGGGTAAAAGTCTCCACATAACCACGTAGCCGGCTGCGTGGTATGCTATGAGCATTCCCCACCTTCCTCCCCCGCTTTCCGGAGGGTTGCCCATATTTGCATCGGGCGCAAAAAAAAAAACATACAACAGCCGCGGTTAATGATACTAACCTAAGTGATTGTCCATTTGACAGAGCATTTTGGGCACATTAGGGTCTACCTCCACAGCTTCAAACAATACAGAATTTAAGTTCCAAACAACAACTCTACCGGAGTCTCCTCCTTGTCCACCAGTAGCAAAGCGCTTCCCCGTCGGATGAATATCAACAGAAAAAATTGGTTTATCTATAAAACAAATATTTTTTTAGGAAACGTTAAACAAAAGGAAATTGTTATATTCTTATAATATTTATAAACACACCATCGTGATTAACCCAACTGGGTTTCAGAAGCTTCATTTATATTGCTGTTAGTTCGGTTGAATTAAAAATATGTTTTGGTTTATTTATTTTATTGAAATGACAATGACAGCGTTATACCGCCCGGAACTTGGAAACCACAGACAATAGATAATACACCAGTGTGACCATCTTTAAAATGCAGATCCTGCCGTACTATGGTTAAAAACCTGCCAAAAACTGCTAAAGTCTGTAGTGAAAAATGCCTATAAATCATAATCATAAATAAAGTCAACTTTATTTACCGTTGTATTAAACTAAGAAAAGTAAAAATACATATTTAAACTGCTATATTTTTATTAAATTAAAGTTAGACACAATTTAGCATCATATTCTCCACTTTTTTCATATTTATACATGGTTTTATTAATTCGATTTAACATATCTTTCGTTAGTTGGAATGAAATATAATGGTTACGCTCACCAAAGCCTGGTTTAACATATACAAGATAGACGCTACACGATGTTTATGAATTTGTTTCGGTTCTTTTGCATGCGGCGTTGGACATTAGTAAACATAACAGTCTCTATGCGAAATTTGCAATACATCTTTATATATTTTAAGTGTCTTTGCTACGACTGACTGAAATATTAACCATAAACTCCTGTTAATGAATAATTCTTTTAAGATTACCAACTTTACATACAAACTTTTAAAATTGTTTAATGAATGTGATACAAACATAATATGACAAGTACAGGAAAATCCCCTACATGCTGGCCAAGTATCTAGGGTTGCCAATTTTGGCATTTTGAGTCGCCATATTGAAACCTATTTCTAATAGCCCAATACTGCCAAATAGTGCCAGATTTTATAAAACATCAACCGATCATGCCGAAGACTAAAATAAGTGGCCAATCCTGGTAAAATAGCAGGAACCTGCCACATATGGTCACACTGTAATACACTATACACCAGAGACTAACTGCCACAAACTATATAACTAGTAGTTCATAAAAGCTTAGTTCTTTTCTTATCACACTTACGCTCTCCCGGAAGAGCGTAAAGTCAGGGCCGTCATCCGAGGCGTCCCTTTCGAATTCTCCAACGAGAAAATCCTTGAGGACCTTAAGTCCCAAGGCTTCCCCGTGGAAGCCGTGCACAAAATGCACAGTAGAACGGGCAAGAGATTCAACCTTGCCCTAGACATACGATCCAACGTGCCGGAGGCAAAAGCCATCTTCCGGCGGGTACGCACAGTGTGTGGCCTGTCGAGAGTGAAGGTTGAACCCCCACATAGGCCCGGATTCCCGGCGCAGTGCCACCGCTGCCAACTATATGGTCATGCGGCGGCCAACTGCTCCGCCCCACCCAGGTGCGTTAAGTGCCTCGAACCCCACAACACTAAAGAGTGCCCCCGGCCCAAAGACGCCGAATCCCCGCCCGCATGTGTCCTGTGCAAACAGACAGGCCACCCGGCTAACTACAGGGGCTGCCCCCGCGCACCTCAACCTCGCCCCAGTAGGCAAGCTCCACCGCCGGTCAATGACCGCTCATTCCCGGCCCTCTACCAACGGCCCCGTCAGAGATTTTCTCAGCCCATCCAGGGCTTCTCTCGGCCCTCTCAGGGTCCCCCTAGGCCCCCTCAGGGCATAATTCGGCCCCCTCCGGGCTTCTCCAAGCCTATGCAGCCTCCAGTCTTCCCCTGGGGCCCCAAAAAGGCAGACCCACCGCGGACAACCTCCTACTCCCATGAGTCAGAGCCCACAGCTGATGACTACAATACACTGTATTCCGCTATTAGGAATATTGACATCAGGGAAATCACGGTAGTAGCACGCAAACTGCGCGCTGCGAAGTCCCCCTAAGAACGTCTCCTCGCTCTTGCAGAGCATAATAATCTCCTGTTAGCGTTGTAAGTTAAGTTAATATAATTAACTTAACTTCAATGTCAGAGCAAATTACTCTACCAAAATCTCACGGTCGTATCAAACCTAAGGGTTTATCGCTTGTATCATTTAATATTCGCGGTTTGCGAAACAACCTCCCAGAGCTTAAGCTCTTTCTTCGGAATCGTGAAGCCGATTTCCTCCTCCTACAGGAAACTAATCTCAAAACCAAGGTCACTAAAGGCCTTTCTATTAAAAACTTCTCTCTTCTTCGTAACGATAAACCCGACCGCCGAGGCGGCGAAACGGCCATCTATTACAAGAAGACACTTCGTTGCTCGCCCATTTCTACTCCGCAGCTAACCAACATGGAAGCCACGGTATGCAGGCTAGCTATGACTGGACATCAGTCCATCCTCATAGCCTCCTGTTACATTCCTTCAGGAACCCATCCCCTCAAAAAAGATTTTGAGGCCATTTTATCTTTAGGCAATTCAGTCATTATGTTTGGAGATTTTAACTCCAAGCATACTAAATGGACATGCAGTACTACGTCCCCTAGTGGCAAGATACTGCTCGATATCACGCAGTCTCTTGATATTACCGTCCGTAGTCCCCTCGGTGTTACTCACTTTCCCGATAACACCGATCACGCCCCCGATGTACTAGATTTTGCGTTACTCCAAGGAGTTTCTCTCAACCTCAGAGCAATCGAGACACTAGACGATCTAGGATCCGATCACCGACCGGTCTCCCTCATTCTTGGCCATCAGCCACCTCCCCCAACACACACGAAAACCTTCACTAACTGGAAGGGATTCAAGAAGTCCCTAGCTAAAGCTCTGGACTCACAGGACCCTACCATCTCCCTACCGTCGGACTTAGACAGTCCCGAAAAAATCGACACCGCGGTCGATTCACTGGAGAGTGAATACTCTTGTTAAATCCTCCCTTAAGGAGAACGAAAGGGTCGTCCCGGTTGTTAACAATAGTGGGCTTCCCCTACATATAAGCAATAGCATAGCAACCTACTAAAAGACAAAAAAGCTGCTTTCCGGAGAGCAGCAAAATATCCCACCCCCGAATATAGGCGCGCGGCCAATCGTCTTCAACGAGAACTCCGTTTCCGCCTCTCTGAATTTCGAGACCTCGAAAAGAGTAAACTCATGGAGAATATCTCTCCATCTCATACAGCGTACTATCAGATGGCCAGAGCCCTCCGCATAGACGCTATCACCCACACTCCCCCCTCTCTCCCGTCCCGACGGTACGGTTGCCTTCGAAGACGAGGAAAAGGCTGAGTGCTTGGCAGATAGCATTGCCGCACAATGCTCTCCTAGCTCTCAACCCGTCGACTCCTCACACGTCCAGGCAGTGGAGGATGAGGTCCGCCGCCGGAACTCACCCCCTACGGCCTCCGAACCTATCTCTGTGTCCAATGATGAGATTTCATCCCTCATCAAAGGACTTAAGCCTAAAAAGGGTCCGGGCGCGGATGGCATCTCAACCAAGCCCTAAAACATTTTCCTGAGCAGGTTTTAACCTTTTTATCTATTATCTTCATCGCCTGCTTCAACCTTAGTTACTTTCCCACTACGTGGAAAGAGGCAACTGTGATTGGAATTCCCAAGCCAGGCAAGCCTCTCAACCTCCCCCTCCAGTCATCGCCCCATTAGCCTCCTCAAGTCAATGGGCAAGCTCCTCGAAAGAGTCATCCAAACACGTATGAGGCACTATCTGTTTCCCACAGACGGTGACCCTCTTATCATTCCCCATCAATTCGGCTTCCGAGCCCAACACTCATGTCCCCAACAAGTTCACCGTATTGTGGAATATATCCTCAGCGGTTTCTATCCTCGTCGTCATAAGACCATCGCGGTCTTTTTCGACATAGCTAAAGCTTTCGATAGAGTCTGGCATACAGGCCTTATCTACAAGCTCTACAAAATAGGTCTCCCCGATCATCTAGTACGTCTCGTGGCCTCCTACTTAAAGCATCGTACCTTTCGTTTTAGACACGAAGGCACGCTATCTTCACAGCGAACTATCAAGGCTGGTGTCCCTCAGGGCTCAGTACTTGCTCCTCTGCTGTACATCCTGTTCACCAACGACATTCCCATCCCGTCGAAAGGTGTTCAGCTCTCCCTCTTCGCAGACGACACTGCTATCTACTGCAAAGGTATCTCAATACCCTTCATACGGAACAAGATCCAAAAGACAGTTGATGACCTAGGAGCTTGGTTCAAAAAATGGCGCATCGATGTGAACCCGGAGAAGAGCTCAGTCGTTCACTTCGATTATAAACGACGCCGTCTCAAAAACACTCCACCAATACGTATGCTAGGGACTCCAGTCCCCCGGCATACGACCGCCAAATATTTAGGTGTCACTCTAGACACAGGGCTCACTTTCAGGCCCCACGTCAAAAAAGTAGCCCGTCACGCACGGTTCTATCTGAGTAGGCTCAACAGTATGTTGGGCTGACACAGTAAAATGTCCCTTAGAAACAAGCGTACCCTTTATAAGGTCTGTATACGACCAGTCATGTCATACGCGGGGCCCGTTTTTGCACACGCCAACCCTAAAATTATCAATGAACTCCAAATAGTTCAAAACCTTTTCTGTCGTCGAGCTGCGAACGCACCTTGGTACGTCCGTAATGCTGACCTTCATCGGGACCTAGAGCTCCCCACAATCCAACAATTTCTCCAAAAACTCTCTGAGAACTTCTTCAAAGCCTCAGAGTCGCACTCAAATCATTTAATTCGTGAGGCAGCTACTTATGCAGCCCCACCACCCTCTCACTATCGAGTCCGCAGGCCGGGAAACTCTCTCTCGGACCCGCCTAATAAACTAACAAACGACCTGAACTGCCTCCTGGCGGCTCAGGCCAACTCTAATTAAATTAAATTATTATATTAATTAATATTAATTTGCCTTCGTAAGCACTCCCTCAGCGGCTCGTAGCCGCCTGCGCCCTCTTTTCCCAAAAGAGGGTCGCTCACGATAAGGCACAATAAAGCTTAATCAGCCGGCTGCCTGTCCCCAAAGGCGGTTTTTTAGAGGGTATCACTTAGGGTCCCCGGTAGGACAGTGAGTCCCTCATAACCACGATAGACCGGCTATCGTGGTATGCGTAATGCATTTTCCGCCTCCCTACGTATAGGGTA